CACCGCGCAATATACTATACAAACAGATCAGGGATGTCTATACGAGAGAATTCATACGTTTTCAATTCAAATTGGCCGACTTCGAGGAATGTTATATCTATGAAAAAGATCAGCCGTTGATACTACCTGGATATGCAGTCATACAACCATATGTACACTTCCAGAGCGCACCCGAACTCGAATTCCCGAACCCCAGGATACGAACACCGCCATTGGATATGTTCAGTTTGGGTGCATGTCTGGACTATATGGCCAGCGGTTGTGGAGATTTTTTCAAATCACATGAATTTGAGATTCGGGCCGCGAATTATCCAAAACGGATGGCCCGATTTATCCGGGAACTTACCGATGTGGTACCCAATTTGCGGCCGACTGCTGCCAGAGTACTGGAAGATCCATGGCTTGACACACCCGAATCAAGAGGTTATAATACTGTATACACTTAGATGTTATGAATTGTTGATATGGGTTAGTCCAATACACTGATTATTAGTGTATTTTTAAATAAAAAAAATCGAGAGGAGGTAAAGGAGATTCAATTAAAAACAACAATTTTTTAATATTTATTTTTTTTAGTAATTTTTAGTAAAAACATAACTTTTTCAACTTACTGCATCCCTCCCTCATCAATTTTAACCCCCCCTAGTTATAAACCTAACTAACTAAACCCAATAACAGTTGACTACATTAGATAATATTTTAGATGTTTAGTTACAAATTATTTTTAAAAAATAATTTTCAAAATAAAATAAAATAAATAACAGAAAAATAAGGAAAACACCGGTAAAATAGATGAGACACTGGACAACAACAACAACATGCGGTCACCGAATCAGCCAAAGTCACAAAAAGTAATTTAAAAGAGAGAGAGAAACACAAAACAGAAGAGAAAGACGAAAAAGAAATCGACAAAAAAGGAGACAAAACATCGATAGAACAGTACAAGTGGTCAACCCTGTAGTCGACAACCATATAGTCGATGACAATGACGAGATACGTCAACTAATGGACGATCTGATCGTTCAAGTGGAACAAAACAAAGACCAGGAACAGCTACTGGAGCCGCCACTGGAACCGCCACTGGATCCGATGCAACCAAATGCACCCGAAATGATCCACACCGTACCAGACTGGTCGGTCCAATGGCCCGATTGGATCAGTGCTGGTCAGGGACATGATATTACCTGGTCGGACCAACCGAATAATATGGAACTACAACACTATAGTGCTTTACTTCAGACTAAAGGATACGATATCGGAGAAGCAATTTTTTATTTTCCTGATGAACACGATCATCATATTTTTAGGGTACAGACAAACGATAATATCGATGATCGAATCCCAAGGGGACAGTATGTCTGCAAAATTGTGTCGATGGGCTACTATAAGAACATCAGGTACTACAGGGAAATTCCGATTGACTCGGCTATGTTGGCCTTTCGTAAGGAGACAGATATACTGTTGCGTATGAGACACGATAATATTGTTGAAGTAGTCGACAGTATTGAGCTCCGGGATCGTCAAACAGAGTTTCCTTTTAATTACGGTGCACTGATTATGGAGACTTGTGCCGGTACGTTGAATGACTTACGTCTCATAAGTCCGAATGAGCGTCTGAATGAAGAGATCAGTCGACTATGGGTCCGGGATATAGCCAGTGCACTGCAATACATGCATAATACTAAGGAAAAACATGTTGAATACCAGTATAATGATGGCCGTGTTATTAGACGTGTTGAACATTTTACAGTCGTCCATATGGCACTAACTATGCGTAATATACTGTACAAAGAGGTCAGGGATGTCAATACCAATGAATTCATACGGTTTCAGTTCAAATTGGCCGACTTCGAGGAATGCTATATCTATGAACACAATGGACCCAACGAACCGAAAATACCGATAGTTTTACCCGAATGGGCACTTAGGGCACCGTACTATCACTATCAGAGTGCACCGGAAATATTTCGGCCAAATCGTGATTTGCTTACCCGACCGATGGATATGTTCAGTTTGGGCGCCTGTACTGACGCTATGTTTACCGCTATTGAGATGGATGATTATTTTAATCACACACATTTCGAAAAACGGGTGACTCAAATGTACCAGAATTGCCCGTTAATGGCACAGTTTGTCCGACAACTAACAGATCCAGAAGCCAACAATCGGCTGACTGCTGCCCAAGCTCTGCAACATCCCTGGCTTAATCAATGAATTTTGAGATGATATACTTAGTTAGGTTTGTATGGGTTGATTGAATACATTTATTAGTGTATAGTTATAATGTGTGTGTSTGTGTTTTTTTATTCTACCTCCTGTTCCTCYAATTTTAATCCTAGTTATTAGCCTAASTAAACCAATAACAGTATTTACAWTAAAAAACACAGACACACAYACACATTATAACAAATTAATTGACAATTATATTATATTAGACAACAGTCTATGTAATTATCTGCTTATACAGACAAACAGTTTTCCTATCTTTCCATATAATAACTCTCTCCAAGTAATCCCTGTGCAACCCATCACTAAAATTATGAAATAATTACTTTTTTTACTAAATTTTTTTATATAAATTAAAGTTATTTATTATTTCTAACTAATTTACCTAAATATCTAATTTTTATGAGGAATATTTTTTATATAAAAAAAATAACTTTAACAATATTTTTTTGAGATGAAAAAAAATTAAATTAAAAATATTAGTATTTCGATTGTGACTTTGAGCACCTGTATGTCTAGGAATAATAGTTGCCAATATTAACATCAATAATAACACCAAAAATCAAATACAAAATCAATGGCACACCATGAAGATGATGTCAATAATGAGATCAGACAACTAATGCATGATGTGGTCGATCAAGTGGAACAAAACGAAGACCATCAGAAGCAGCAGCTACTGGAGCTGCCGCCGCAACCAATTGCACCCGAAATGGTCCACACAGTAGCAGACTGGTCGGTCAGATGGCCCGATTGGAATAGTGCCGGTCAGGGACACAAAATTCCCTGGTCTGACCAACCGGATAATATGGAACTACAACACTATAGTGCTTTACTTGAGGCCAAGGGGTATGATATCGGAGAAGCAATGCATTATGTTCCTAATGAACACGATCATCATATTTTTAAGGTACAGACAAACGATAATATCGACAAACGAATCCCAAGGGGACAGTATGTCTGCAAAATTGTGTCGATGGGCTTCTATAAGAACGTCAGGCAATACATGGAAATTCCGATTCACTCGGCTCTGTCGGACTTTCGTAAGGAGACAGACATACTGTTGCGTATGAGACACGATAATATTGTAGAGGTAGTCGACAGTATTGAGCTCCGGGATCGTCAGACAGAGTTTCCTTTTAATTACGGCGCACTGATTATGGAGACTTGTGCCGGTACGTTGAATGACTTACGTCTCATAAGTCCGAATGAGCGTCTGAATGAAGAGACCAGTCGACTATGGGTCCGGGATATAGCCAGTGCACTGCAATACATGCATAATAAGGAAAAACATGTTGAATACCGGTATAGTGATGGCCGTGTTATTAGACGTATTGAACATTTTACTGTCGTCCATATGGCACTGATGATGCGTAATATACTGTACAAAGAGGTCAGGAATGCCGTTACCAATGAATTCGTACGGTTTCAGTTCAAATTGGCCGACTTCGAGGAATGCTATATCTATGAACACAATGGACCCGACGAACCGGACATACCGATAGTTTTACCCGAATGGGCACTTCAGACACCGTACAGGCACTACAAGAGTGCATCGGAATTATTTTGGCCAAAAAGAAATATGCCTACCCGACCAATGGATATGTTCAGTTTGGGCGCCTGTATTGACGCTATGTTTACCGCTATTGATATGGAAGACTACTTTATAGACACAGATTTTGAAGAACGGGTGATCCAATTCTACCAGAATTGTCCGTTAATGGCACAGTTTATCCGACAACTAACAGATCCAGTAGCCAACAATCGGCTGACTGCTGACCAAGCTCTGCAACATCCCTGGCTTAATCCATGAATTGGCAGATGATATATATATATATATATATATATATATACTCAGTTGGGTTTGTATGGGTTGATTGAATGGGACTGATAAGTGTATAAAAGGTAAAAATCTCTATTAAAAAAACAGAAACAAAAACAAATGTTTTTTAATAACTTACAGATTGTATACAAACATAACCTATTCTTATTCTACCTCCTGTTCCCCACAATTTTTAATCCCAGTTATACCTAAACTAAACCAATAACAGCATATATACCGGTATATATATACAGTATGTATAGTACTGTATATTACACTAAAAACAGACACAAATAATATTTATTTTTTAAATCTATCTAATTATCTGCTAATACAGACACAGACAAGACTATTATCGGTTCGTTGATTGAAACTGAATGAATAGGCCATTGATCGCACAGTTTGTCTGAACAGATCCAGTTCCCATCGATAGGTTGATTGCTAATAATAAGCTGTTGAACACCAATGGCTCGCAACCCATAAATAAAAAAGACAGGTTTGTATTGTTTTTGAAACAGTTTATCTTTTTTTAAGAGTTAAGTTTTATAATTAAAATTTATAAATAATTTAGACTAAAAAGGTCTAAAAATACTGTTAAAAAAATAATTAATTATGAAATCAATTCTAATGAATAACAAACACACATAACGACAATAACAAAAACAACAAACAAACTAATCAATAATTAGTTGATTAACAAAAAAAATTAAACAAATATTTAGATAATAATTTTAATAAATAGTTTTTATTAGCCAGTGATTACCTGATTTAATAAAATAAAATTATAGCACTTGGACTTTAAAGTTAGGGTCCAAATATATAGTTATTATTATTAATTTTTATTTTTTTTATTTAAAAAAATAATAATTAATTAAATCTAGTATTTATTTAGAATTATTAGTTTACATTACAGTACAGTATTTTCTATTAAATAGACTAAAAAAAGTATTTCAAAAAATATATATTTAATTTGATATAATTTTTTTCAGTCGTTTGATTACTATCTCTCTCTCTCTCTCTTCTCTTCTTTTTTTGATATCATTTCCGTTTGTTTGGCATCTGTTCCACGTCTTTGTCGATCACTTTGTTATTAGATTTTTCATTGGTGTTAATCGTCTTCTTCTGTTGTTGTTGTCTACTATTATCTTTAGTATTGTCTGTCCTTTTCGATCGCCATTCAAAAACCTGTTCGTCCACTGGTCTGAGTTCACCGGACGGCACCTTAATAGTAGTCAGACTACCCGACGGCAAATCTTCGGCCATTGATTTTGACATCTCTTCAATGGATTCGGATCTTAATGTTTTATTGTTGTCCTCGATGTTGACAATTATTTTACCATTGTTTTTGTCGACAACCTGTTGCTGGTGTTGTTGTTTGACTTTGCGATTAGCTTTCGTCTTCTTTGGTGATGTTGTTGGCGATGGCGGCGGTAGTGGTCGCTTGAGATTAGATTTTGACTTTTTGTTGGCCATCTTTTTGCGGATAACAAGATAGGCGACCAAAATCAAGACAACAATACCGACGATAATAATTACAGCAACGATTGGCCACACAAACGATAGGTCGCCATTTTCGGGCTGTTCTTTATCGGCACTAATGTTAGGATAAGAGGCCATAGAGTCTGTCGTTTGTTTGGTTTCTCGTTTGTGATCTTCTTTGGCTGTAATTATTAATGAAATAATTTTTGATAATTTTTTTTTTGAAAAAAACTTTTCTATAAACCTGTTGTTGTTGTTGTTGTTGTCTGTTGTTGTTGAGTAGTCATAAAATTATTGGCATAAAAAAATTAACAAAATTTATTGATAATTATAGAGATAATTATAATTAATGTTTTGAGAAATGTTTTTTTTAAAAATAATAATTTCAATATAATTATCAGTTAATTAACTTAATTTGAATATCTATCACTTAAACTGATTTAAAGTTATTGTTTCTGTCAATGATTATTATGATATTGTATCTCGTGATTAAAAAAATTAATTTTTGTTTATTAATAATTTTAATTAATTCTATACATCAATCAGATTCTGTATTTATAATTATATTTTTTATTGATAATATCAATTGTATTGTTTGTTTCTTTACAATATATTACTAATAAATCAATAAAACTTTTACCAGTTTTACTACTATTAACAATCGCTTAATTTAAAATTTGGATTATAAACTAATTAATAATATTTAGCTAACTTTTTTAATTTTCTTAATTAATAAAATTAAAACAAATATTATCCATTGAATATAGATTTAATTTTTATTAAGTTGAATAATAGTTTAATTTACTACAAAATGATAAAGAAAACCACTGTTAGTTTTTTAGTTTATTATTAATACAACTTATACTTAAATAGTAATGGTAATGGTAAGTACAGTATATTTATTTAATAGTAATGGGAAATACATAAACTTTTAAAGTTATTACAACAAATTAAATCAATAAAAATGTTAATCTTGATTTAAGCTTAACATATTCAGTATTTATTCAATTAATCTAATTTTAAATTTCAATAACAATTATATCATTAGTTTAATGTTTTTAAATATATTTTTGTGTATATAAATAAACTAAACTAATTATAATTTATATTTTTTTTTATAAAAGTTATACATTTTACTGTTTTAATATTTTCTAAATGTTTTTTTATTATAGTAAAATTTATTAAATTTACTATATTGTTTAAAATCATTTGGAAATATTTCAATTAATTAATTCAAAGTAATAAACAAATAACAAAAATACAAAAAAATACAATTAACTTTGAATGTTTGTGTTTAATTAAAATATTTCTTAACTATTACAACAAATATGTTTTGCCAACAAAAAAAAATTATAGTAATAATATTTTATATTAATATTTATAAATATTTGCACATTTAAATTGAATACATTTATTGACAATATTTTTTTTAGTTTATCATTATTTGTAAATGAAACTAAACATTAACTCAAAAATTATTATAGATTTTAGTATTATTAGTATAATTATATTATTATTTATATGCATATATTTTAACCATAACTTTAGGATTTCATGTATTAATAATATAAATCAATTAAATCAATGGGATTGCGGTGTTAGTCGTAAGCCGTTTGTCAATCGACTAGAGTTGGGTCGTGTGATCGGTGGTACCGATGCTTTCAGAGGAGAGTTTCCATGGATGGTATAATCAGTAAAAAAATTAAACTACCTGTGCTAACATTCCTTTAATGATATTACTGGTTGTTGTTAGGTATCATTACAATTGGTTATCAATACGACACTAGTCTATCATTTATGTGGCGGATCTATAGTCAACCAACAGTGGATCGTAACGGCAGCTCATTGTGTACAACCCTAGTATGTCATAAATATAATATATATGTATCGGTAGTATATAGGTATATAAATTCAATGATAAAAATTAATCAAAAAAAATCTTTATTTATTGATTTAATTAGTAAACATGATCTACAAAACAAACTATTTGTACGCTTTGGTTCGTTGAATTCAAGTATCGGTTTTGTACACAGATTAGCCAAAACAGTTATACATCCCATGAACAGGTATGACGGTGACAACAACGATGATAACTATGCCGACATAGCGCTCATCAAATTGGACCGACCGCTACGGTATAGGAAAATCTATGGCTACTATTTGGTGAATAGCGTATGCCTGCCAAACATTAGCGACAATTTCTATTCAACAACTTATGCCACATTATCCGGTTGGGGACAATATAGATACAGGGATCCCATTTATGGTGCCTGGGTTTACAAGGAAACGGTAGGTTAATGGGGTTTATGAGTTTCTACCGGGGGTAATTAATTATGGATATACATAAGAAAATTCTACATAAAGTCGATGGTATGCCTATCGTTAGTGAGAAGGCCTGTCGTCAGCATTATCGGGACTCCCAGTTCAATCTGTCCCGTTATATAACCAATGGATCGGTAGTCTGCAGTGGTGGTAACGAGAAGGGTAGTTGGTCGGTGAGTAGTCGGTCAGTCATTTTTTTTAAAAGAAAAAATGTCAATTCTAGTTAACTATCAGATTTTTTAAGGGCGACTCCGGTGGTCCACTAGTATATTATACGGATGACTATCGCAGGGCTGTCCTAATAGGCATTGCCTCTATGACTGAGCCGTATAACTGGTCAAAGCCATCGCTATTTACCAATGTTGCCAAATATATCAATTGGATTAACAGTACAATTAGCCAAGGTTAATTACCCATTAATTAAATTAATTTAAATGAAATTCCTGTAGAAAATACAATTACCGTAAATAAATAAATAATTATAGATTTTAATGACACAATTTAAAATTTATTTTTTATATATATAGAATAAAATAATTATTAAAATACATAATGAAAAATAATTTTATAGATTTAATCAATTAATTGATATTAAATTAAAAAATTCATTCATTTTTTATCTCTTTACTACTACTGGTAGTAGTAGTAGTAGTCGTCGTCAACTTCTTTTGTTTCAACTTTTTCTTTTTCATTTGATTCTTCTTCTGATTCTTCGGCTTAATCGTCAACTTCTTGTTCACCGATTGTTTATTATCTTCTCCTGCCTTTGGTTTGTTGTCCGCCGCCGCCGCCGACTTCTCTTCTCTCCATTGTTTCTTCAATTGTTTCTTTTTATTTTTAAATTTAAGCCATCTTTTCTTTTTCCTCGCATTCTTCACTTCCGTAACCCTATCTTTGTCTAATTCACTCTGGCTTTTGGCCACACTTTTCTTTTGTGGCTCCTCTTGTTGTTGTTGTTGATCACTATCTGTCGGATCAGTTCCGTTAACAGGTTTTACAACAGGTTTCTCATCATCATTACTGTCGGCGGCGACAGTCGAGTCTTCGTCAAACATTTCGCTTTCATTCTTGACAACAAATTTGTGTTTTTTATTTTTTAAATGTTTTTTATGTTGCTTTTGTTTAGTATCAATATTATTATCATTATTATAGTCATCGTTAACATTATTACTATCATTATTTGATGTGATTTTTGATGTATTTTTCTTATCATCAAATTCTAATATAGTGTTTAAACAAACAAAAAAGTAATAATCATTAGAAAAATTACATTTTAAAAACAAATTGAATTAAAAATTAATTTATAATAATAAAAATAAATCATAGATTTATAATTATTATTGAATAACAACTAACCGGTACTTTCTTTTTTGATTTTATTGGGTATCGTATTTGAAAACTTTTTGAGTTTAGCCACAAAAAAGCCGTCCGTATTATGGGCGTGAGGGTAGAAGCGTCGGGTCAGTGACATTGTCGGGTGAAACCGATTAGTTCGGAAACTAAAAAAAAATCAAACAAATTTTTTTGTAATTACATTACGGATAAACTAAAAATAAACTGCAAATAAAATCACTTACTGTGTAAAACCTTCTCTACCGAAGTCGACACCGATGGGCACCAGTTTGACATTACGCTTCTGTAGGGCGTAATCGATGACCCATTCATTCTCTTCAACCTACAGTACGGTACGGATATGTCCATAAAAAGTAAACATTAGTTAATGTAGTGTAGAGAGAGAGAGAGAGAGAGAGAGAGAGAGGAAAAGGAGATATCGTATGAAGTATGACTTACGAGTACAGAACAGGTTGAGTAAACAAGATATCCACCGGTCTTGGAGTTGGCGTCCAAACAATCAATCGCTGCCAGTATTAGCTCTTTCTGCAAATGTGCGCAACGATAGATGTCTACCGCTTCCTAATTATTATAGAAAAGTGATAAAAATTAATTTTTAATTGTCATCAAATCACTTAATAAGTAATTGAATTAATCATTTAATCAATCGGTCAGTCATAGCATACTTTGCTGGTCTTAACGATTGGATCTTTGGCTATGACACCGGTGCCACTGCACGGTGCGTCGCAGAGTACCCGATCGAATCCGGTCATAATCGTTGGATAGACGCGACCGTCATAATTACTGACCACTGTATTAATGACACCCAATCGATGAAGATTGGCCACTACGGCTTTGGTACGGTCTCTGTTGGCATCGTTGGCAAACAGCATACCAGTGTTCTTCATAATGGCCGCAATGTGTGTAGTTTTACCGCCCGGTGCGGCGCACAGATCCAATACTTTTTCGTTTTGCTGAGGCGCCAATGCCATTACCGGCAACAGCGATGCTGCACCCTGAAGCATATAGTGACCGGCCAGATATTGCGGTGTAGCACCAATTGGTACCTGACTGTCGTAGACGATTAGGCCAACGCGCGACCATTTGGCAATCGGGTCGACATTGACGCCAATGTTGATCAACGCCTGAGCCAAATCGCGTCGTCTGGTTTTCAGTGTATTAGTTCGTATGGTTACCGGKCGATGAACTTCGCTGGCCTCGAGAAACTCTTTCAATTCTTCACCGTTGAACAAATGGATCAGTTTTTCCATTAGAAACTCATTGTAGTTATAGTAGACGCACAGGTCTTTCGTCAAAATAGACATATAGTCGGCTCGCGATCGGTCCTCTTCGCGTCGATTCTTGAAGTCACCCAAAACAAACAGTACATCACTGATACGTTGTTTAACAATGGCCAGATCGTCGGGCAATTGGCCATCGGTTGTTCCCAATTGAATGGCATCCGACACTTTCATATCGGGACCTTCTTCATCATCGTCATCATCATCTTCATTGTCCGCTTTATCATTGACTTTCTTACCAGTCTTTCCCATTACTTGATCAACACTTGATTCGCCTTCATTTTCATCACTTTCTTCGTCATCAATCTCTTCTTCATCGGCGTCTTCAATGTCCTTAAAAAATATATTTACAATATTTTATGTCAAATAATAGATAATTAAAAAAAAACATTAACCAAAAAGTATAAATACCTCGTCGTCATCGCCGCCGCCATTTAATTGCAGGTCAACTGTCGATTCGTCGTCATCTAAATCGTCGTCAAACGTCGAGTTCATTGTCGTGTCAGTCATATCTTCGTCGTCGTCGTCGTCGTCGTCGTCATCATCAGATTCATGCAGATCGTCGTCATCCGAACCAAACCTACGGTATTCTACTTTTTCGGCAAATTTTACTCGTTTTTGACCGCCTTTTTTGGTCGCTTTATTGCCGGCGACTTTGTGCTGGTCATCACCACCACCGCCGTCAACGATCTGCAACTTTTGTCTGTACGGAAAAACATCCTATAAATAACTACCGATGACCACAAACACACRCAGACAATGGACACTAACCTCTTGTTTTTTGATTGTCGTTTCTGGTCATCGGTTCGTGAGACACTTTTCTCGGTGGTGGCAAACAAGTGACTAAAATCGGGATCCGGTTGTCGTTTGGCAGCCCTTCCCGGTCCGCGTTTCGGTTTCTCGCTATATCTGGCCTTACGACCCATATTTTCCGAAGTGACCACTTATTGGACCTCTTCGGCGATAGACTGATGGCTGATGAAAACACACACACGTGTCAATTAATTAATCAATCAAATAATCGGTGGTTAAACAACACGTGTTTTTTATTTTGTATATCATATATATATTTGTTGTCAAATGTGTGGCAAACATGTGCTTTACTTTTAAAAAAATTTATTAAACATTTAATACATTAGTAAACTGTATAGTGATGTCACTAACAATACATTTTTCATAGACTATTGGTTGTAATATTTGTAGTAAATTTTTTTAGCGCTTTATTTAAAAATATTATTGTTATTTATTTATTAATATGTTTTTATTTGTTTATTTGTTGAAATTTGTTATACATATGTAGATATATATTATCTATTAAATAATTATTATATTATTTACATTATATACACTAATTATAATCATTTTATTCAAATCGCATCTATTATTTTAATTATATAACAATCGTAACTGTTTAACAATTATTATTGCTATGAAATAATTTATTTAAACTTTTTTTTGTCTAAAAAAATAATAATAATATTTATTATTTAGTTTTAATTTGTATTAAAAAAATTGTATTAAATTAATAATTTAATTTTTTTTTAGAAATGTTAATCTTAAAATACAATATTATTGAGATATAATTTAGTTTCTATAAATATATATATATAATGTAAATAATAGTAAATCAAATGTTTTTAATTAATTTAATTAATATTAAATGGAAAATTTTTATATTTTCAAAATTCAAACTACTGTATAATAATTTATCAATAATAATAATAATAACAACAAGAAAAAAATTATCAAAAATAATTTAATATTACAATTGAATGTAAATATTAAAAATTTCTATTTTAATAATAATTATTACTAAATATACATTGCATTATTATCAGTAATTAAATTACAAGTATGTCTATTAAGATAACTAAAAAGTTTTCACAAAAATAAATAATATTTATGTGTGTCTACAGTAATAAACCTATAGATAATAGAAATTTTTGTTAAAAATTACAATAACAAAAATTGTCAATTTTTGTTAATTAATATATTTATAATTTTTAAAAAAATAAATAAAAAAATAATCAATTATATATTGTATTTTTGTAATTTTTTAAAAAAATACTATATATGTAGTACATATTATTGAGTATTATTTATTATAAAATTTAAAAATAGTTAATATTAGTACTAAATTTAAATTAAGTTTAAAACTTTATAACTAAAACTGTTAACAGCACAGTGATAATATGTTTTTGTACCGTATGTTTGTGTGTTTGAGGGTTATTATGGGACACGATATTAGTATATGCCCTAATATCTGATATCCTATCAAAAAAATGATTAAATAATTAACAAACAAATATAAATAAATTTAGCCAAATGTTGTCTAATTTAAAAAAAAATTTGATTATTGATTTCCGCACATGTACTTACTTTGGACATAAATATTTTCAAAAAATATAATATTACACTATATTGTAAAGTTATAAACAAATAATTAATTTTTTGTTTTTCAATAATATTATGTACTCTATATATATATAAGTTATGTGTCTATTATAACTTAATAATAATTGTCAATATTTATAATCTAAATAAATAATTAGGGTTTTTTTTTAAATAAATATTATGTCCACTTTTAAAATAACATTAAACTTGAATATTATTAATAATTAATTTGATTATAATTATTAGTATTATAGATATTATATACAGTATATATTTTTATGCATAAAGTTTCCATATAATAATAAATATTAATAATATATGAATAATTATATATTTTTTAATACAAAACATGTTTACCAAAAATCTAAGCCAAAACTAAAGTATAATACTTTATTATATTTGTCTAATATTTGTTAGATTTGAAAATAACTTTTAAATTTATAATATTTACTAAAAGTTTATACATTTTTTTATTAAGAAATCTTAAAATCAACATTATAAGATATATTAAATTACTTATACTTATATATTTATTATTAAATATAGAATTATAATAAATTTATCTGATAATATATATATATATATATATATATATATATACGGTATATTGTAAAATATAGAAAAATATTTTTTTTAATTTTTCAAAATTAAACATCTGGTAAATTAGTTTTTAAAAATTTATATTTTCAGTTTATACAGTACAGTGTGTTGTTATTGTTAAATATCATACACAGTTAATGTTAGTTATTATTATTGTATATATAAATAATAATCATTAATTAGCAATTAATAAACTAATTAGTTTTTATACGTGAATTATATAGAGTAGCACAAATTTATATATAAATAGCAATTCATCATAATCAATAATAAAATTAATGTTAATTTTATTTTATCAATTAATGTTAAACATAAATTTTAGACACATAAATATAAATAGATAATTAAAATTTTACTTTATTAATTATAAGTTTTTTTAAATAGAAAAAATGCTTATTTAGTATTTATTAAGTATTATTTTATAGTAGAAAAAATCTATAAACAGTAGTTATAAATAATTTTTTGATTAGAATTTTTTAAAACAAATAACAGTTTTATAATTTAAATAAATTTTATTTAATAAATATTTTTAAAAAATTTACGATAATTAGTAAAAATGTTTTCAAATATTGAGTTGATATTATTATTATTATACTGTTAGTTAATCGATACCAATGACCACAAAAAACTAAACTATTATATACTATCAGTCAATATATATATATATATATTTATTTATTTATATTAACTACAATATCAATAACCATTTTGATACTATCAAAAACTTTTCAATGATACCCAACCCCCACCCCTTCCTCATTCCCTACCCTAAAACATATGTGTTATGCCAATCATACTATACTGTATATAATAAATTTATCTAATAAGGACTTTACTTTAATCTAAAAAATTAATAATAATAATAATAAACATCTTTTTTTTGAGGCTATTAATAAATTAATTAACAAATTTGATAAACAGATATTTATTGTTTATGTAGTCATTTATATATTAAGGAAGTATCTCTAAAATATTATTTTTTAAATTTTTTTAAATAAGACAATCACGTATTGCATCACGTAATGAAGCAGTTAAGCTACCTGTGCCTACACACACACACACACACACACACACACACAAACATATATATACAAACAAACATATACACATATATACAAAATATAAACCCAATAAACTTATTTATTTATTTACTTTTTTTCATTGTTAACCACTTTTTAATGTGTAAATATTTTTTTGTTAGTATTATATTGTATATAAAAATATCAAATGAAAGTAAAAGAAAAGTAAATATTAAGTTTCATTGCTTGTATGGGTACCTCAAAAAAATAATGAGATCATAGTTGTTTAGTTAGTTAGTTAGTTAGCTAATAGTAGTCAAACGGCTGGCTGGTTGTCTCAATGTTTGTAAACACTACTGTTATCACGTAGTCGATGGTTTAGTTAGCTAATAGACTGAGGATTGAGAGAAAGAGAGAGCCGGTCTACTATTCCTCCAATGATTGTCGATGTAAACAACATATCCATTATATGTTGTTTGTATGCCTACCTCCTCAACTACCAGAGCCGTAACACAATACTGAACAAGCGATGCTCTTTCAATTCCCCCCCAATAGCCTCCCCTCCCCTACCCTCCCATTCCCAAACCAAAACATTGTTAGTTCATACAGTTAGTCGAACAGAGACTTCGCGAAAATCACGTAAACCTTTGATTTTTTGTTTGATTCGGGTATATAAGGAACGGTAGTTTTGAGAACTTTTCCAAAACAATCACAGTTTCCAAACAGTGAAGACACTTAAAAAAAACAGTTTACTATTAAACAAAAAGTTTTGCGAATATATTCCTCAAAAATTATTCAATTATTTTTTTTTAATAAAAAATAATACCAAAAAGTTTTGGTAAGTTTAATATTTATTTTGTTTTATATAAATCGACAAAATATTTTATATTTTAATTTTATTTCAAATGAATTAATTATGTATTAAATTTTGTCAAATTTTTAGTGAACAAAAAAATAAATCACTGAAGCCATGAATACAGCAATAAATCCCGCAATGTTTGCCCCGGCAGCCAAACGTGAGTTCCCGATCACCCGATTGTGGACACTGTTGAAGCGAAACCCGCGCTACTGGGGAAACGTCGGATCCGTGTTTGTATTGGTGCCCACTATGGCCGCAGTTTGCGCTTATCATAGTCTGCACAGTCCTGAGGCCATACTCAGTCGGGCCAATCCGGAGCCCTGGCAACACTTTGACCACAAACAGCACAAGTTTATGTCGAACATTGATCACCAGCACTACGAACATCCCAGACCCCGATTCTAGATGATTGGGACAATTGGGTGGACAAACATACGGTGTTGTGTGTATGTGTGTGCACCCGCCGTCGGGTACCCCATAGATGGTACCGACCAATCAATACATAAAAAACTGATACTATTTTTTATCATTCATTATTAATCGTGTAGTTTTTCATAATAATAATATTTTTATTTTAATTATTATTATTATTCCAATAGATATACACTATATAATGATTTAATATTCTAATCAATTTTATATATATATTTATATACATTTATATTGTGATACAAAACTTATGTATGAATTTTTTATTAATACATAATAATTTATATATATATATTATTATAAGCAATAATTACTAATATTTTGTACAATTTTTTTTACAAAGTATTTACACACAAATGTAATTCAATTGTTTGTAAACATATTCAATGAATTTGTATATTAATATTTACAAAAATAAATTTTAAAAATATTTAGTTCATTTTTATTTTATTTATATTTAATATCTTAATAGTATAAAAACTTTTTTTTTAATATTGATTATTTAAAAATGTAAATTATAAAATATTATTTATGATTTTATTTTATCAGAAAAATATTAAGTCATTAATACTACTACTGCTACTACTAATAATAAATGTCATAATAATTAGCATAAATAATTGAGACAACAAAAAATATATCAATAGTTTAATGACATTAATAATGTTTGGCATTGATTTTATTTGAATTATTTATTTATTTAAATTTTATCATATATAAACAGTTCAATTAATACATAAGTGTTTTATGTAAATTTATAAGTTATATATTATCGAAATCTTATAAAAAAATATTTGCTACAAATTAAATATATTTTTATAAATAAATCTAAAATTTAGCTAATAAAACATAATAAAACTAATAATACACATTAATAATCAATACTGTATATATTTTGTATTATTATGCAAAAATAATTTACTTATAGTATTATTGCAATAACATTGATTTTGAGATATAATACAAAGTTAATTATTATTATACCTATATTTTATAATAAGTTTAATGTAAATATTTGAATAAGTTTAATAATAAAATCTTATAAATATATTACTTATTTTATACTAAAATAATATTATATACATTATAAAAATTTTTATACATAGTATATTATACAGTATACTAAAGTATTATAACTTATAATTTATAAGATACTAAATATAAATAAATAAATAAATAGACTGTATTTATATTATACAATAAAATCTAATATATATATATATATATATCATGTATCATATAACATGTTAAAATTTTATTCTAGAAAAAACTTTTAAGTTTAATCCTCCAATTCATAGTCACTGTATTATTGTTATTATTCCGGTAAACAAACTTCCCCTACAATGCTATCCCCTCTCATGTATGCTCAGTAACTTTCCACTCGTATCTGACTCTCTCTCTCTCTCTCTCTTCTCTCTCCCTATACTAACTGCACAGTCAGATAAATGTATAGTCGAGTGTCTCAAACACATCCTCATCCCATCATATATAACATCCATTTTGCCCGAAAATAAAGTCATGTAATATTTTGGTATATATTATATCAGGGTTAAGCAAGGTTTTGGATTTTAGGGGGGGTAGACCGGGGTAAAATTTACAAAATTCTCAAAAAATCTTGGGGGGGGTATTGGGTGGGGTAAGATTTTTATTGCATTTTTAAACGGCAATTTTTTCAAAAATCCAAAATCAAGGGGGGGGGGTCTAGAGAAAATTCCCTAAAAATTCCTTAAGTTCCCGAATATTCCCATGTAAATTCAATAAAATTCCCACAAGTTCCCGTATAAATTCCCGGGAAAATAGGTAAAATTTCCAAAAATATAAAAAAAAACTTAAAAAACTTAAAAATTAACAAAAATTTAAATTTTAATAAAAAATAAATATTTTTAAAAAAATTTTTTTTAAATTAATAAAAACTTAAATTTTAACAAAAAAAATAAAATAATGTATTTAAGATTTAAAAATAGTTGATAAAAGCATTAATGATACACTATGAGTTATTTTTAGTATTTTAATAATTTTTAACTTTTAACATAATTAATTTTTTAAACAATACTTAATGTTTATAGTTTGTTATATATTTTTATTTTTATACAAATACTGACTGAATACTACTTATTTAACTCAAATTTCGTTAAAGTTTAATTATATTAAGTACAAAATTGAAAATATTTTTAAATTTTTTATTTAAAATTTAAAAATTATTAATAAAAACATAAGTATTTATTGTTTTATTAACTTCTTAAACTTATATTTAAATTGTAATATGATTACTCTTTTCAACAAATAGGTAATTTTTAATTTTTTAGTTTATTTTAATTAAAATAATGTTATTTTTTGAAGACTTTTAACGTTATTTTAACTATTTTTAATCAATAATTAGATTTTTATAAATATTAAAAACATAAAAACACTTACTAAAATAGTATCAACTAAAATTAAAATTTTTATAAATTTCAAAAAAATTTTCGGCGCCTTCGGCGCCGAAATTTTAGGGGGGGGTCATTTCTCCTCGTTTTTAAGCGACAATTTTTTCAATAAAAAGTCTATATATATATATGATATTATATGTATACCCATAGTATAATATATATATATATATATATATATAGTATAAACGGTGTGAATAACATATAACTTCAAGGTTATATACATTAGGAAAGATACTACAGTACTAAATAATATACAGTATATATAATCAATAAGTTTTTCTAATGTACAGTCACTAACAGTATGTGTAGTTGTATACTGTATATGTATATTACATAACTGTGCAACAAATTAATTACTATTGTACTATAGAAATATATAAATATAATGTTTAATCACGTGAATAACATATTGCTTTTATAAGTTATATAGTTATAAGTAGTAAAATCGTAACACAATTTGTATTAACTATTATTAGTACAGTACAAGTAATACTCTACGTACGTAATTATGTATTATAATTATCTAGGTTATCCAATAAATTGATAATTTAGCTATCTTTATAAAAAATAAAGCTAAAATTATATAAATAAATATACCATGATTAAATCAAGGGATATAACATTATTGTTGATAATTAAAAATGTTTCTAAATAAAAATATTGATACTGCATATTTTGATAAAAACATTGTACTGTAATGTAATTCAAAGTTTAAATTTTCAAACATTATTAAAACTAAAAACAATAAAATTGCATATTGTACACAATTAAAATAAATTATTATTAATTAAATAAATTACAATATATATTTGAAAGTGATGTTGCTTAAATTTTATTCAATTTACTCCAAAATTGTTTTTTGTGGTAATAATAATAATAGTAATCTTAGTCACAAAAAAATGTCATCTAATTTTTTTTATATAAAAAAAGTTTCGTTAAAAATTCAATTAATCAATCAATCGATCGATTGATACATTAGTTTTTTTTTCGATAGTATTTTCAAAATTTTAAATATAGCAAACATTTTCTGTTTTTTTTTCTGCAATCAATTTTGTGTGGTGTGGTTTTTTTGTTTGTTTTATCAATAAATTATACAAATTTATATTATAAAATACAAATGATATTTGATTTGTCCCGGGTAGTCTCGCACTTATTATAATAATTTTTTTACGGTAAGCGTATAATTAAGTGTTGGTTTTTATAATCAATCAAAATTATAAATAATTAAAGTGATGTAATAATAATAATAATATTCTTATTTTTATATAAATATAATAATAATAATGTTAAATGTTGTTTAAAAATTTACTTATTTTTTTATATTAATTTACTGTTCAAAATTCGGTGTATTATTATTATTATTTTTAAGTGAATATATTATAAGATTTTTGTTTTTCATAATATATTTTTTTGTTTATAAGGTATTTCCAAACTACTAGTATGTTAAGTGTATTATTGTTATTTAAAACTGTAATTACACAATATTTATGATGATTTTTGTTTAATATTATTGAATATTTTTTGTTTGTCTTTATGCTATTGTAATAAACAGTGTAATTTGTTTTTATAAATATATATATTTTTTGTAATAGATTTTCGATATAATAGATTCTTTATATATATATATATTATGTGTAGTAATGTGTTGTTGATATTATTGTTGTTGTTGTTGTTATTAACTAAAAGGTGTTATTATTTTCAATATATATAAATAGATAGTAATGTAATAATTGTTTTTTGTTGTTAAAACATAATGTGTCGGCCATTAGATCTAAGAGAAATGGTGGTCTAATTTTCGGCTTTGGCGCCGTTATCGGCCGACTCTCCCGATTGCTTATTGTCGGACACACCCTTATCGTTGTCCTGTTCGTCACCGCCCGGTCCGGCTTCACCGTCCTTGCGACCGCCACCGCCGCGCGATGAACGACGCTGACCGCCGCGATTACCGTTAATGTAACGACGGCGACGTTGTCCTCGGAATCCAGATTGACGGCGACGCTGTCCGCCCTGTCCATCATCGTCGTCGTTCTTCTGAACTCTGCCTTCGGCCTAATAATAGACACATTCAAACAAAAACAATCGGGAAAATCAATAAAATTATTTAAACAAAAAAAACTAATAAAATACTAACTCCAGAGGCGTCGCCATCAACTCCCGACTGACTTCCCTCGGTATCAGAACGTGGTCTATTGGGACGACGGCCAAAGTAGCGGCGATAGTAACGCCGTTGACCGCGTCCACCGCGACGTCCATCGTCATAGCTGCTGTCACCGCCAAACTGTTGGCTGCCGCCGTCGTCTATTTCCTGGCCATCATCGCGYGGTGGTCCACGCGGTCGGCGACGATAAAAACGCCGATAGAATGGTCTGCGGCCGCCGCCGCGCATTCCGCCACCGCCTTGTCTGCGGTCGTTATCATATCCGCCGCCGCCACCACCTCCGTCGCTTCGTTGGCCATCAAAACCTCCGTCCTGTCGCGGCGGTCCTCTACGAAATCCTCCGCCGCCGCCTCCTCCTCCTCCTCCACCACCGCCGCCGCGTCTGTAGCCTCCGCGGCCACGACCACGACCTCTGCCGCCACCACCATAACCACCGCCGCCATAGCGACGGTCGGCAGCAAACGGTGATCCCTTCACTGGTATACCGCCCGGACCGGTAACATTGGCCGCTTCGTTGCCTTTTTCTCCTTCAACGATATCAAACTCAACCAGTTCGCCGTCGCCGACGGAGCGAACCATTTTCGACGGATTGTTCTTCGAAATGGCCGACTGGTGGACAAAAACGTCTTCGCCGTCTTTGTCATTGCGGCTGATAAATCCGTAACCGTTCTTAACGTTAAACCATTTGACGGTTCCCTGAATTCGTTTGGCTGTTGTGTTGTTTGTTTGGGGGCGAAGACAACGACAACAATTCAAAGACACAATTCAGTGACAATCACTAATACAACTACAACTACAACAACAAAACTCTCGACACTTACCGACAATTTTCTTGGTCACCGCAGTCGGCGCCTCCGCTGCTTCACTGTTTTCCATCTGATTCGGTGGTGTTAGTGATTGTTGTTGTTGTTGTTATCGGGTGTTATCTGCGGACAGTCTGTCGGCGCGGATGTTGTTTTATTTTGGATGTTAATCGGCGGAGAGATTGATCTTCACTCTCGCTTTTTTAAGGGTGTTATAGATGTTTGGATGTTAAACTGTTAAACCGACAAAAAAAATAAAATGGACAAACAGGTCAGTCACGGGTCAGTCACATCAATTGCTTGTCTGACAATCGGTAAATCACTGCCGGTTAGAAATAGCCGGTGTTTCCGGTTGTGGTCACAGACAGACAAACAGATAGAGTGATAGATAGAGACAACAAAACACTTACCACACGCTGTTTCGGTGCGAATCTTACTAAACAATGAGCGCTTTACTCACTGTTGGGAAACAGTGCTCGCAATCAGTACTACTCAGTGCTCACAACCAAAGAAAAAGTCTGCTTAAAAATTGTGTGTATGTCTCCTCCCACTTATCACGCAAACAGTGTAGTAATAGCTACAGTACAGCAGTAACTGTTACTACACTGTTTGCGTGATAAGTGGGAGGAGACATACACACAACTGCAAAATTGACAGGACCTCTGCTCACAACCATTCATATCATGTGTCTATAGAGAGTGTGCGCGCAATACATATACAGTACAATACAGTCAACCATTATTTTATTATTATTTTTTTAATTTTTTTTTATATACCGTTTACCAGATTTTTATATAAATTCATTATACAGTACTGTATATATATATTAATATATATTTTTATCAAAAGTTTATAGTGTGTCCAACTGTGTTACCAAACACTAAAAGTGCTAAAAAAAATACTGAGTAATTGTTTTGTTTGTCACAATTTTTTTTTGTAAAATAAAAATATTTTGTTTTTAATTATCAATTTATTTTATTATCAATTTATATATAGTAATATATAAATAAATATTTAGATATATAGATCATCTAGGTACTTTATTAAAAAAAATTAAATAATAGTGTGAACATTGATTAATGTTGTAATTTCTATGTATTAATTTACAGTATATTTTAGATATTTTTATTTAGTTTTTGTTGTTGAATAAAATTTACTATAATTTAGAAGTTTTTATTTATTTATTGATTATTTATATTGTATATTATTATTTAAAATTTAAGTCCTTATTTTTATATGGTAATTGGCAACACTAAATATGTCGACACAACAACATAAAAATGGGCGTAACTTTAGAAAGTTTTCTCCAATGTAGTCAACATTTATTTGGTGACATAACACCATATATTGTAGTATATAAAGCACTGGTAGTCAGTCAGTGACAGTCGTCTCACAATTCAATTCAACAGTGTTTGTGTGTAATGTATGTGTTGTGTACAGTATAGTCAGTAATACACACACACACACTGTACTACCGGTGCATTGTATTGACACATAATGGCGTTTAAAAATAAGTTTATATAATATTGGGGTTTTTTTTTAAAAAAAATTATGTAATGATAAACAATTTTTACTATAAATTTATTGAAAATTTAGGGTTTTATTGGATGAAAAAATTTTTGATTTATTTATTTTTAAATAGAAAAAACTAGCATGATAATTTTTTTTATTTATACAATATTTAAGTAATTATAAATTCTAATAATTCTTAATATATAAAATAAAATAAATAAATCTATTAAAGAAAGTACTAAAATATTTTTATATAACATATAGTAAATACTTAAATAATAATTATTATTATTATAAAATTGTAGTCAATTTATTGGTAGTTATTTTTGTTATGTGTGTTGTTTTTGGATAGAAAGCAATGTAAAGATATTATATAATAATAATAATTATTTTTTTAGTATATATAAGTATTATATAATATGATACTAATAATACAGTAATACCCAGTAGAAAGTGTATGTAACCTATTAATAGAAAAGCTGATAAAACAAAATGTATTTTTAAAATTTCAAATATATTTTTATTAGTAAATATTTAAATATCTAATATATAATAAATAAATATATGTGCTGGATAAATTATTAGCAAACAAATTACTATAAATCACAATAAATATATATATATTTTTAAAAATTAATATACTAATTTATTAAAATAAAATTATTAATTAATTAGTTTTTTCATTAATATTTCGTTGAATCCAACTTAAAAAATATGATACTTTAGTGTAGACACCGGGATATCTAATATCTATAATAATAATTATTATAATAAATAATTAGTCGAAAAAACATAAATAAATTACAAAATTAAATAATATATATATATATGAAAATATTTTCATATAAATTTTATACTATATATTTCATTAATATAAAAAAATACTACCGGCACAATTTAAGCCAAATGAGACAATACCAACTAGGACAGCCCTACCTAATATAATAATTATTGTAATTATAATTAATTAATAATAATAATAATTACAGTAATATAAGTTAATAGTTTTTTAATCAGATAATTTACATACCGTTTATATACTCAACTAACGGACCGCCAGAATCGCCCTGTATTTTAAATATATATATAATTTATTAAATAAAAATTTAATTTACTTATTTTTTTACTAAAGAATATTCTGATTGCTAATAATTTTATAAAATTTTTATATATCTATTTAACACGCATTGTACTATCTATAATAATAATTATTATTACGGAATATTCTTAATAATATACAATATATTGTACACTAGTTTACAACAACAACAACAAAAATTATAACTTATAAAAATTAATTTAATAAATATTTTAATACTAATTTCATACACTACAGGCATCTTTATTTTGAGTCAAAGTACACAACTGGGAATAGTAGATAGTTTGTGGTTGATATGCCTGTGCACAATGGTTGATTTGATCCAGATCAAGTTTGACCACTTGCAGCTCATTGGGTATGTTCGGATTAAAATAGCTAAGCCGACCCCAACCGGCCACATAAAATTGTCTATATTTTGGTTCCTCGTAGGGAAATGTTGGCAGACAAACAGCTGCCGCCTGTTCGGTGTATTCGATAGGTTTGGCCAGTTTGGCCAGTGCTATGTCCGATGCTTTCATATCGTTGTAGTTATATCGGCTGTGAACTATGATCCTATCCAACAAATATATATAAGCCTCCAATTTCTGTGTACTGCCCAGTCCTATCTGATAGGCATCGGGTGCTCTGATTTGACTAAATAAACCAACCATTAATACCAGTCAAACAAACCAACAACAAAAAAAACATAAATAAATTAGTTGTAATTAATAAATAATTTTAGCAAATAATTGACAAAAATTTTCTTATCGCAACACTTAACTCAAAACAATGGGCGGCCGATATGATCCACCATTTGTTGATAAGACTGCCGCAACAGTGATAACGGCCCCGTAGCCAAATGGCTACTATCCAGGGAAACTCTCCCTGTCTGGCTCTGGTACCGTTCACAATGAACTTCGAGGCCGTCGATAGTCCACAATTGTTTGGCGAAACTTTGATGGCTTTCGCCGAAGACTGTGTCTGTACGGATGTGTTGCCAAATGTAAATTTTATATTAGTCTCTTTTCTGGCGGCACTGACTCTAGCGGACACTGGTATCTCAGCCATATAGTTGTCCCGTACGGAGTCATCCAAGTCATCATTAAGCCATTGTTTGCCAGTTATTGTTGGCTATGATGTTATATGCAAATACATTAGGAATAAATGATATATTAAAATAAAATTTATTAAATTAGTTGAATATACAGTATATATATATATATATATTATATTATTTTTAATTGTTTACATCACTTGACATATAAGCCCTATGTCTTAACCTATTGTTTTTAGTGGTGGTCTTCAATAGTGGACAAACAATTTCATTAATTAAGAATACATTATCTAAATTATAATTTTAAAAAAAATATTTACTGTTAAATTTAATAGACATTATTTATAAATACTTACATATTATTATTACTACCAATAATGATAATGTTAAATATGGTAAATCACATATTGAAATTAATTTTTTCATTATAGACATGGCTTTTTAATGTTTATATAAATTTATATATATATATAAATATTAATTACAAAATTAAATTAAAATTGATATAAAAAAACTGACATTATTTTGTTTCAGTCAATTTTCAAAATTTTATTTGTAATAAATTGTTTAAGAAATTTGAATAAATAAAACACAATTATTTTTTTTATTATAATAGTAAATATCAGAGATTCATATAAATTTATATATATATTTAATATATACACACAATTACATATATCAATAGTACATAATATCACTAATATCATTGATCAATGTTTTTATTATATTTTAGGCACTCTGTCAACAATTGGACAAATATTTAAGAAATTTAACAAATTTAAAACAATCTGTTTTTTTAAATTTGTTTTTCATAATTATGACATCAATTAAATAATTCAGTAAAATAAAAACATTATGTGATTATTATTATTATTATTTAAGATAAAATAAAAATATATTTCAAATTCAGTAATAAATATAAATTACTAATTAATAATCTCATAATTACGATACACAAGTTATACAGTATACTGTATACATAAATAATTTAAAAAACAAAATACAGTATAATAATGTATATATAAATATTATTTATCTATATATATATAAATAATTTTATATCTAAATAAGTTTTTTGATTATAAAAAAATCTAAATAAAAAGTATAAATTTATGTACAGAAAAAAATTAATTGAAAACCTAATTGTTTTAATTAAATCAATAATAATATTTCATTTATATATGAAAAAAATGTTAAGTGATTTTCAAGAGACAGTAGTATTTTGTGACTTAATTTTAATATCACTTTCACTGTTATTATTGTTGTTATTATTATTATTATGATTATTATTTCGGCGTAACTTTTCCGGCGACTGTGAGGCCAATTGCGAGAAATCGCGGACCACTTCGTTGAACGTTTCATCGCTAATATTACCAAATTCTTCATCATTTTTCATTTCGTCGTTAAGTTTGGCCAGTCTTAAGCTATTATCACATATAATAAAAAAATCAAAATTACAATCAATTTTCAATTATCAAAATACTAGATCTCTATCTCTCTTTCACATACAGTGTAACGATGTCTGCGTTAGCATTATTGATGGCAATCATCAGTGCATTGTTACCATTCTTGTCGGTACAGGACTGGTCTGCGCCTCGTTTCAGTAGTAGACACACTTGACTAATGATAATAAAATCAAAAAAAAATATTAAAAAAAACAATTACCGGTAATAATATACACGTTTTCAGAAAATAAAATCTAAATTACCCGGTATTGCCGCGTTCAGTGGCCAAATGAAGCGGTGTAGTGCCGTTATTATCGGTAACATTAGATTTGGCGCCGTTAAGCAATAAGTATTCGCAAACAGTGACCGCGTCGCTCATGATTGCCTGATGCAAAGGTGTCCGATTCTGGTCATCAGTGTTAGGCCAGTTGATTACCGCACCTTTGGCCAGTGCGGTGCTCATTGTTTTCAGGTCACAATTGATGGCCGAGTTATATAGCATTTGATTATAATAGGTATTATCGATCATTTGTGACGACGACGACAACACCACAGAGTTTACATCTTTGACATCACTATTAGTTGGTTGCGAAACAACAATCTCTTTGTTTTCATCAATTTTGACGACTTTTATATCACATGAGTTGTTGCCAACCACTTTGTGATCACTTTTATTGTTGATATTATTGTTTTCCTTAGAAGTATTATCACAACTATTGATAATCAGCTGAGTCTCCTCCGAGTCTTCGTCTTCTGAATCACTTTCGTTGTCAACAGTTTTAGGCACCGGTTCCACAGTACTACTACTTGTGGGACATTCATCCACAACTTTATTAGTTCCATCACTACTACTACTACTATCGGTACTATTATGACAACAACTATTGTTTGTATCATTTGTCGGTTGATTATTACAACCACTACTACTAACTTTGAGTTCATTATCACATTTGTCACTATCTGTTGCACTACTGTCCGTTAAGGCCTCAGTTTTGGTTTCTTCACTAGCTTTGGACAACATTAACTGGGCGTCCGATTTGTCGACAAACGCCTTCTTCACATACTTGGCTTTGATCCACAGTTCTCGTTGACCGCGACTACTGTCAGGTTTGGCCCTCTGGGCAACCGTTTCGTCCACTTTTGCCTCGTATATCGAATTGATAAGTGTATTGCCCAATGTGGACATCACTTTGATCAGTTCCACGTCCCAGGCGTCCAAATTTAATGATCTAACTTTACTCAAGTGGACGCCCAGACTGCGATGAATACCGGAGCACTCGATACACAGTGTGATACCGATGTTAATGCTGGCCCATTTGGGATCAGCTGCACCACAGTCGCAACACAATTCGTTGCCCGGTATAACCAATATCTGAGTATAGGACATACGTGGAGGTTTGGCCGGTGGATTCACTAATTGAGGATTTGCCGCCACACCGATAACAACGCCGGCGGCAGCGGTAGATAAGTTACTAATACTATGCGACGACTGTTTGCTAGCACTCGAATTACTGGATGCCGTACACCACGAGTCCTGCGAATCCAGACTCTGGCCATCGTTATGGTTGTCGTTATTATTATAGGCAGCATCGATACCGGCCTGCATAGCACTGATCCATTGTTGACAGGCCTCTTCCGAGTCGGCCTGAAGTATATGACTCTTCGACGGCGACAGTACTTCAAAACAGAACCGTCTTTCCATAAACTGGACGTGTTTTGCTGTACAGAGTCGCAAGTCTTCCTCCATAATCGTTAGCTCCTTATCGTGCGATCTCTTCTGGTAAACCAATTGATGGTCTTGAATGATAAACCAGCGACGGTTCCATGTCTTGAATGCATTGGACGTACGCTTGAATAGATAACCTTCGAGTCGTATTTTATCCGATTTGATTAGTTTGGGTATCGGCTGTTTCGATGACACCATTGTGTGCCTCGACTCGAGCTGCTTCTCCAGAATATTAGTACTGTTCCGCATATCTATTATCTTTAATAGGATATTGAAATAAGAAAACAATTTGTTATTGTCCTCCATATCCACAACAACTGATTGGCTGTTAGTCTATATATAATGTGATGTACAAAGTCATGCAAAATAGTGATCCCCGAAAAAAAAATTGATAACAAAAATTGAATAAAAATTAGTAATTAATTAATTTGTTTTAAATATGTTATTAATATTAGCATAAAATGTCTTCAGAAGCTAAGATCAATACAGTTATGATGACATTTGATGCCTAAAAAAAAAACACTACAAACTAATTGGCAAAACATTTAGACAATACATTTGTAAGCAGTTCTTCAATGATGATGACGGCTAACCATTTTTAGTACAAATTTTAATTTATATATATTATTATACAGTACTGTATATAATATACCACATAATAAGCAATTAGATAAACATTTATTTGTTATTTTTAGGTCCAAATCATTGACATTTCAGACATCATTTGAGTGATTAGTTTTTTAAAAAATTAATTCCTATACAAACAACTAGTTTTTGTGCAATTTTTTTTTAGTACAAAGTGATTGTAACAAAAAATACAGTATTATTATTGCAAATTCATTGGCTGTATAAATAAATATCAGCACAAATAAAAAATAATTATAAATGAGAATAAAATATAAATAATTTAATACCATTACACATACCATCATATGTTATATTTATTGTATTAAATGCTATTATTATTATTTTATAAACAGATTTTTTGTTTAATAAAACAATACTTAATTTGCAGCCAAACATTATTCAATTAATCATATTCATGTGATATTTAATATTAATATTAATACTATTATTATTATTATTATGTATGGGTTTAGTCACAAGTTTTTTTTATAACAAAAATAATAATTTTGTCTCTAATGTGTTAATAATAGTTTTATTTTTTGTTTGTTAGTTAGTTAATATTATAGCAACAGTCAAATACAATATGAAACTAACATTTTTATTTTACTTATTTTATTAAACGCAAAATTAACATTTTTATTATACTATTTTAAACATTTTTTATTTATTTTTTGTCTATCAAATTACATCGACTAAAATATCTGGGATTATCAGACAATATCAACAACAAAAAAATAAAGGATTGATAGCTGATAGGGACAGACCTTTGGACTACCTTTCCATTTGGATATAAAAGTGAGTGTGTATTACCAATTGTCTACATTTTTGTGTTGAATCATATTTTATAATAATAATACTAAATTGTCTGAAAAATATAATATATAAACTATTTTTTTTAGTGTTTAGTTACAACATATTATATGCAATAGGAATACAGTATTTTAACTATAACTAACTATATTTGCTATAAATAATAATCTGTAATAATAGATATAATATAAATATTTAGCAATTATTTATTTTTCTGACTAAAATTAGTTAATAAATTAGTATATATATATATATAATTAAAATGTTAAGCAATTATTATATAATTCATGAATATGTATGTTTCTATGGATATAAATTTACAATTTGTAAATGACAAAAAAATGTAATAATACTTACCGGTAATTAATTTTTACTGATAACTATTGTGCAATACTTTAATAATATATACGATATGATAATGATATGAATCATTATAGTGTATAATAATATAATTGTGTTATATTAATAATAAGCTTATGATCAAGGTTAAACATTTTTTGAATATCTAATAAAATATGATTAAAAAGTAAAAGTTTATATAACATATATATATACTGTATATCCTATTTATTCCTATTGTTTTTTAATTGATTATCTAAAAAAATTATTATTAACTCATATAATTTTAATGTAATCTAATTAATGAGTAATTTTTTTCCCACAATCAGGGCTCCATATCAACAAATATAATATTAACTTTTAACAATAATACTGTAATAATTAGGATAACATTTATTATGTAATAGTAATAGCATTTTAACATTTACCGGTAAGTTACACATGCAAAACAAAAAATATAGATATAATATGAAATTAAAATGAGAAATAACAGTTAAAAGCAATTAAATATTTTTTTTGTTAAACATTTAAAGCAAACAATTATTATTATTATTGATTATTATTGTGACACTTACTTGACTGGCCGTGTCTTTCTTGAATGGATCAAAGTCTTGAAATAGATCCGATCCCTGATGATAGTACGTGCCGTACGCGTGCATCAAACTTAACAACTAAAATAAATGACACAACAAATAAAATATATTTAAATAATATAAAACAAACAATTAGATAAAATAAACTATTAAAAACTATTATATTATATGATATTATAATATAAAGTAATTTATATTCACAATAATAACTGTATAATAAATAAACAGAAAATTGTGACAATAATTAAGAGCAAAATAATACTTATATTTTATATTAAAAAAACTTTTAAAAAAAAATTATTTTCTGTTGTCTATGTCTCTGAATATCATATTTATGTTAATTATTTAAATAATAATAATAATAATTTAAAAGACTATCTGATGTACAGTAAAGCTCCCACACAAACACATTATTTAAATTAATTTTTATTTTAAATACTGTATATAATAAGTCTAACCCGAAAAACGCCTTTAAAAAAAAGTTATAAACAACTAGTCATAAAAGTTATTGACATATAATTTGTTTCAATGATTTTTAAAAAAATTAAATCTATTAAACTATTTTATATAAATTATATTTTACCAAACATTTAGGATGTGGGCAATCATCGACTATTATTAACACTTAATAGTGTTTTTTGTTTTGTTGTTTTTACTTAAAACAATAAGCAGTTAAAATTTTGAATCCTATTATAGTATAATATTATTAATATAGATTTTTAAAAAATATATAATAGCTTATTATTGTTTAATTTGTAAAAAACCAAAAGTTTGTTTGTATTATTATAATAATTGTATGTATCAACAAATAAGTGCTAATTGTATTTCAACAATCAATTAGTTTTTTTTAAAGTGTCAATTGTTAATATTCAACTAAAAAAATAACATTGATGGACTTACTTAATTAAATTGTTAATTATTATTTTTTTGTTGTTGTTAAAACTGCAAATTTTTATGAAATAAGTCATTCAACTAATTTATTATTTTTTTTTTAAAAAAAAGTCATAAGTTATTTATAAATACTAAAATATATTACTATATTATTGCTGTTTAATTAATAAGGTATTCAACCCATAGAGTACTGTATATGAATGATAGTCATCATTAGGGGAGAATAAGATAAGGTATTATGATATTAAATACACACAAATAAAACACAATTGTTTAATATCATTGTTTTTATGGTAGAAAAATGTAAATATTTAGATAATTATTTTTATAATATAACATCCTTTATAATATATTAATGTATATCTATTTCTACTGTATTATAATTATTATCATAACCGGTAATATAAATTTATAATAAATTTAATAAACACCTCAATATATTTCTAAAACATTAAAACCATATACAAAATCCATAACCGTAAACATCATAATCTAATACAATTGATAAACATTTTAATACCCAATCGGTAATACTGACAATCAGTGGCCACACATTGGATTGACCAAATCAAATCTGGCCGTCAAACGTGGTCAGCCAAATGTGTGTCCAGTTATTGAAACATAATTTAAATAATTCAAACAAGAGATTATGAGTTCCTCTCATCTATTCCCCTAACATTTCTCATCATATCTCTAAAAAATTAGATAATTATCACTAAATAACAACTAATACTACGGTAATAATAATTATAAGAGTCTTATCCATTAAAATATTAGATGATAATGAAAAGGATATATCATATCAAACAAAGACATGACATAATAAAAGAGAGTTAAGTAACACACGAACCGAGTCGACCACTTCGTGACGGCGTTTGTTCTTCAAAACAGACAATTGGCTGACATAGTCAAGAGTCAAGTGCTGGAAACAGGATCGGGTGGCCGTCAACAAGTTGTCCGATTCTTCGCAATCAATCGGTTTGTTTCGTGAGATCTGCGAATGTCTGTTGAGTACACTATCGTATTCGTCGCTGATTTTATCGAAATGTCTTTTCGTATCTTTGACTTTGTAGACTTCGTCGCGTAGAAAATTGGCCATATTTTTGGTCACTGCACGGTTGGCCTGATCGACAAGTATGGTATCGTATTTGAGCAGTTCGGACATTGTATGGACAATCTTGTTTAGGCTGTCCATTACTGGCGGATCATCCTTGAAGTACAATAGCAAATCCCAGACACCATTAATGAAGTTGGTCTTTGTACGGGTAAACGATTTGCCCATATCGACCATTGCCGTACACAGTTTGACCACTTTGTCCAATCGGGACTCGAAATCAAGTAAATCTGATTCTTGTTGTTCAAGTGTTTGGCGAAACTTTGGCGAATCGATGAGACATTCCTGTAGATCAATGATCGGCTCCATCATCATCACCAATGTTGGCGACGACATTATCGTTGTTGGCGGTAGTAGTGGTGGCCACTAATCGGCGGGTAAGCGATCAGCTGATCGATGGACAACAATACGAGAGAAACCAACCAAACGGAAGAGTCGCGCGTCAATCGCGAGTGGAAACGAGTCGGTCAATCGGTCGGCGGGTGAGTGAGTGGCCACTGATAGGAGGACTAATAATATCGGTAAAAATATATTATGATTTAACTAATGAAAAATATTTTTACTGTTAGTTCACTATTACAGTAATAGACAACACATTATTATTATTGTTATTATTATGATATTTAATATTAACTAATAATATTAAAAAATATTTATAAAAAAAATACAAAAATAATGTTAACAAACAATAAATGCAATGATTTTATTTAGTCATCAATTTATTATTATTACTTATTATTACTAATTATTATTATTATTTCAATCATTCAATTCAATGTTTTGATTAATCATTTTATTTTTTTTTGTTGCTTTGGTTTTATTTTTGATTTTGATATCAACGACACTTACGATTGCACTAATGATTGAATTTTTTTTCTCACAATATTTTTAATTATTTAATATATAATTCATTTGACTTTTCATTGATATTTTTGACTTGAATTTATGTGAAACACATTTGCAATATTGCAATAATAGCTATAAATTATAATAATTTAAATGCGAAACATATTATGTGATATATTACAGTATAAACACACTATTGTATTGTTTATTATTATTAGTATTAATACAATTATTTTTGTTGTTGTTTTTCAATGCAATCAAAATTCATACAAACAGAGAGACACACACTGTATGTTTAGGTTTGTGTATAGCATAGGTATGTATTATTGGATTTTTTTGTTGTTGTTGGGTATGACGTCCCGGACGACGCCCCAAACAATTGGACGCAAAAAAAATTAAATAAAAGTTTTTGTTTTTTTAATCACTAATCACAAACTAACACAAAATTTATGATATTTTATTTTTAAATAATAATAATTATTATTATTTGCACAATACATGTACATATGTTAAGCGTATGTTTGCAAACAATTATATTTTTTAAATATATAGCGTTTTTTAAAATGCCTATTAATAGGACCATACAGTTTGACTATACAGACTCTGTGTGTATGTATGTGCTCTCTCAGGCATTGAAATGAGTCAATTGGCCGCAAGCTATCTAATGTTTCTGAGTTTTTCACATTAATAAAAATTAAAAAAAAAACTAAAATTTGAAAACTTTGTGTTTTTTAATACTGTATGTTTCAGTTAAAATAAAAAGACATTGAATTGTGAAACACAAAAGTCTTTGTGAAGAAAGAAAGAAAAATAAAATATGTTTTCAGTTATAATACGCGAGAGTCTGTAATAAAACATTATTACAGTAAAAAAAAGTTTTACTAATAATAATAATAAGGCTATGAATCGTTGAATTTCACTGGAAGTATGTGTGTTTGTATACCCCTATCTATCCCTCTCAACTAACTATCAAGTTGACGGACACGCATACCGGTGCTCTGGTTATAATGATAATGATTATTATTAGTCATCGACAATGAATGTCTACCCTAAGACTATGGTTGATAATATATATGTAGATATGATGACACAAAACATTGTAATCACTAATCTTATCATAAATTGTTTTATTTATAAATATAATTAGTAAAGTATACTACAGTATAGTACTTACGGTATTGTTGTGTTAAAATTTATTTGTTGTTTTAGTCGATAATTTTTTTCAGAAAGTTTTCTCTACAAATGTTTTTTTGTCGATTATTATTATAAAGAGAGGAAGTTTATGTCTACTTAAACTACACTATAATAATAATAATAATAATAATAATACAATAGTTTACTTATAAATAGTTTTAGCACTGATTTACTGACTTTCCCGATGACTTTATTATTATTAAACATACATTGAGTTTACTATAGTCATTGACCAGACAAAAGTGATAATAAAAACAAGTTATTGAAATATATTTAAATATAAATTTTATATATTATTAATTTTGTTGTTGAATTATATATGTTTTTCCACATAAATTTATCTAGATAAAATATTTGCTATCTATTTTCTATAATAGTGAACTTTACAATTTTTTGTTTGGTGGCATTTAAATTAGATTATTTAAATAAATTTAAATATAATTTGATCACACAAAATATTATAATAATAATAATAATAATTTATAAATTATAATAAACAAGTTTTCACATTATCACTGAACCATTTAGTACTGTATATACAGTACATTGTGAGAGCACAGTTAGGTTTATAAAATCGGTTGGAGGGGAAGTACGGTATATTTAGGATTTGTAATTTTAAAAATAAATTACTTACCAAACTAATTGTGTACCCAATATTAATAAATAATAATAATAATAATAATTATTATTATTATTATACACTTTAGTTATTAGCTTGACTTATATTTTATTGGTTATACACTAAACAAATTAATTGAAAATTAAATTTGCCGTTAACTTAGAAAATTGTTTTATTTTATTATTTTAATTTTAAAAAATTGAATAACACTTTCGCTTATAGGAAATATATATAAAATACTTGTATTTTTTTAGTTACAGTACTAGATATATATATAAAATTTATATTTATTATAACAGTATTTTATCAAATAAAAAAGTGTTAGTTATTTAATGGTTTTTGAAAAAAAGTTATTTATAGTCTAATAATTTATTTATTTTTTTTGATAACTTTTTAATATTTATTTAAATAAAGATTTGCTTATATTATTGACATTGTAAAAGACATTAGTTTGTTTTAAAAAAAATTATTATATAATAAATATATACAATAATTTATAAAGTAAATAATTGAATTAAAGTAAAACACTTTGAAATATAGAAATTAAATTATAATTTTTTAACCCAATAAATGACAAATAAAATTTTTTATTAATAACTAAATAATTAATAATAGTTTAAAATTTAGTGTTTTTTGTTAATAATTATCCAAAATTGACTAATCATTAGCATAGTAATACTGGATTATTTGTTAAATAATTAAATAATATTTAAAAATTTTAAAAATATTTATACTGATTGATCAAAAAAAATTTATATTACAAAAAACGACATTTAAATTTGCTGATTAAAAATATAAAACACAAATAAATCATATTATTTAATCAATAATAACAAAATTAGATAAAATATTTCCAATAGATTATATTTATCAACAGAAAAAAAATGTTTTAAAGATTAAATATGATTTAAATTTAATAATTACAATTTTTAAAATAATCATTTTTATTGTTAATAAATAATTTTGATAGTTAATCATTTATCTCTCACTATTTTAAAACAATATTTATTGAATAATTATATTATATTATAAATATAATATAATTGTTCACTATTACTATACAGAGTAATGTGTGATAAAAATTAAGTTATAAAAAAGTTATTAAGATTATATATTTTTTTGTATTTTAAATTATATAATAAATTCAAACAAGTTATCTATAGATTCTATAGTATACTAACAATTTCATAAAGTAATATCAATCAAATGATAATTTATATAATAATATTTAATAATAGCTCGCATTTATAAATATGATATTAATATTATAGACATTTTTTTATGTTGTCTATATTTTCTTATCAAATAAAAAAAAACATTTTATCAAATATGGTGTATATATCATATAATAATAATTATAATTATTGATAATTATTTTTCAAATTCAATTAAGTAATAATCATCTTAAGTTTAATTACAATCGTATTAATAATATTATAAATATAATGAGGTTTTTTTTTAAAAAAAATATTAAATTAAATATATTTCATTAAATTTCTGCAATAAGTTTACAGTATTTATAATAAGTATATATTATTGAATTTTTAATAAAAATTATTATTTTAAATAAAGTTAACTTAATATAAAAAAAGAAACAATAAATTTTTAGAATTCATATATCAAAAAATAAATTTCTATATTTTATTTTTATTAATTATTATTATATAAATAATTATATAAAAAACATTTGTTTAATTATATGAAAAATAATTTTATAATTAATTAATACTATTTGTTTATACATTTTTTAATAAAAAATATAAACTAAATTATATATAAATATATAGAAACGAATTTTCCAATAATTATAATCAATTAATTAATTTTTCTGTTTGTTTATAAATATGAAAAAAATAATTAAAATTATATATATATATATATCATAATACAATATATTGTTTCCCTAAATTGTTATAAATTAATTTAAATAAAATTAATAAATTAATAACTATTATTATTTTTTTTTGTATTATCGATGCTATAGATCATAAAAAATTATAAGTAAATTAAATTTTACTAAATTTCATTTTGAGAAATAATTTATGACAAATAGTTATGAGAAACTTATGAGAAATTTTTATATATATATTTAGATAACTATAATATATATATATATATAAATTAAGTATTTTTTTATAGCAATATTTAGCAATTTTTAAAAAATGTAAATATAAGTTATAATTAAATTGAAATTGTCTAACACTATGTTTAATCAATGATTTTAATAATTAAAAATTTCGAAACCAATTATTAACTAATTGATTAAAATAAATAATAACATAAAATATTAATTACAAATATTATTATTATTATTATTTCATAAGCACTAACATTGAGTTGTTTATATCACAGGAGTTAACTAAGACAACAAAAATTTCTAAAATCTATCCTAAGTTTAGTCATAATTAAAGCACTATTAAAGCAAATTAAAAAAACATTAAATTACAAACTCTATGAAAACTATTTTTTTATAAAACAATTTGTTTTTTTATATATTTCTAATTATAATAAATGCAATAAACCTAATACAGTAACACTTGATTTTTAAAAATTTAATGATAAAAAATAATAGATTTCAATCAAAAATAGAATCATTAATAATAGTAATACAATAGCAATGATTACTAGAGAAACAAAATTCATTAATAAAACAAAATAAAAAGTAAACAAAATTTTCTCAAATTTTTTTTTAATTTTTATAATTCAAAAATTCAATTTCAATAGAAAATTATTATTAGTTAAATCATTTCTCTTACACACCCACTCACTCACTCTCACATCAAAATTTTAAACACAACATATCATATCCATTGCTCCCTCAATATACTGTAAATATATATATATATATAATTAGTGTCTCAATATTTACTGTAAATTTATAAAAAATACATATATAATAATTATTATGTTAGATATACTCCCGGGAAAAAATGTTTATAATTTGATAATTAAAATATTTATTATATAATATATATATTTAATTATGTAATGTTTTTTGATAATTAAGCTAAAAAATTATTATTAATTAATCAAATTATTGTAATTTGACTCAAATATATGTATTGTTGTTGTTGTAAATATATATATACTTTTAAAAATTTTGAAACTACTAAATAAAGTTAATTTGTTTTGTTTGGATTCAATTGAAATATTGTTTTGTTTTTTTGTGGTGCAGTCAGAGGAGAGCGCACTGAGAGACACAATTGGATACATATATTTGACATTTCTTTTAAAAATTATTTCTTCTTATAAACAATGGGGAAGTCATCCGACTATGAGGTGGCGTTCTTACAGGCGATTATCGCTTCCTCACCGACAGCAGACATCACTGTTACCTTTAAGACAATGGATTAAATCAATAATTATAACACAAATATATATATATTTAAATAATAAAACAAATTATTTGAAGGGCCGACTATAAGGTATGTCCTATTATATTGACTTACAATAACAGTGTTGTCCTCTTTGCCGTACTCTTCACGTATCTTTGTGCCCATTTCGCCGTCCGGTACGCGTAGATCATCGCGAGTGTCGCCCTTTTCGTTCATTAGTGTGACGAAGCCATCGTCACTAATGTCTATCAACTACAGCAACAAAAAATAAGATTATTATTAATTATTATTTAATGCACATGTAGTCAATAGTGTGATGTTGGGGACAATTACCTGGAAGTCACTACGATTAACATTCGGTACATCGATATTATGAGTCGATGGACACAAATCTTCGTACTTCTTATTAGTGAATATATCGAGTCCTACCAAATGAACCTATAATTTCATGCAAAACATTTCGTTTGTTAGACTGAGACCACTCACTCGGGCCATCGATGAACGAGTGCACCGGTATGTTTCGGGACAAAACTAACTCACCTTTGCGTGTCCGTGTTTGCCAGTCTTACTGGTGCTCATCTCCATTACCTTACAGGGACGGGCTTTGATCATAACAAACCCGTTCTTACGCAATGATGAACACTGGACCGGATAGGTAGCTGAAGCACCGGCAGATGCTTGACCGTGATATTCTCCTTCGTCGTTCTCCATTGTTATCCAAAAAGTATTTTCGGGTTTTAGTAGTAGAGGACTGAAACAAATTTAATAAAATTAATGAAAATCTTATTAAAACACAATCACTAAGTATTAATTGGAAAGCAAGTCTCGGGAGATATACAACACGTGTCTCACGTGTGTTGACGTCCCTGTGCTCTCAGTATGTATGTGTTTGTGCACACCATTCAATATGTCGGCGCCTATAACACAGTGTTATTCACTGCCATTAACACACACTTAGACTTAACATTTAGCCACACTTATCGCCTAAGGGATGGCCACTGGCTGTTATGGCAATGCATTGGCCGCTAATAACTATTAGACAGCCATCAGCCGTCGGTGGCGGCGTCCATATTGTTGTTAATGGCAGCGCACTGTCGGCATTGCAACAACACATACCTCTCTCCACACACACATACATACCAGTGCTTCCAATAGTAATAGTGTATTCAGAAAGAGAGAGATAGATATTGACATACCTTAAGAACAGAGGAGTAGATTCTTGCAGTAGATTATCAGTCTTTCAATACCTATCGGTGACAACAATTGTTAAAAAAAAAATTTAGTGGACAGTTGTGCCAGTGGAGTCCGTCCATAAAAAAAATTATTATTAAACTATACTATTACTAACCACACAACGTGTCGGTGCGACTCCTCCTCAGCAACGCTAGAGCTATGAGAGAGAGAGAGAGAGTTGGAGAAAGAAAGGGATCGTTAGATCAGTGCACTCAACACATACAGACAGACAGAGCACTGGTAGTAAATACAACAATAATTTTAGTGAATATATCTATAGCACCCACCGTTTTGTTCAGCAGCACTGGTTTTAGTGGTTTTTTTTTTGTTGATCGGTCGGTATGACTGACTCTCTCTAGCGTTTGGGGCCTTCAATGCTGTAAAACTGTTTCACATATTGAACGCCATTGTCATTAAATTAATGACGTGTTCACAACACATATACACTACCAGTGCTGCACACATACACACACACACTGGCCCTTACCATACATTACATACACATAATAAATACATCCATTTCCTTATATATAACATTACTTAGAATTGATACTATTTTATGCATACATTTTTAGGTCTATTTAGTATAGTATTTGTATACTATTAAAAAGTACCAAATAGTTTGTTATTATAGATAACATATATATACAGTATATAAAAATAATACAAAATTTGTTAAGTATTTTAAAAGCATTTAATAATTAAATTTTTTTATATGTGTATACAAATATAACGTTATGATTAAACATTATTTTATTAACTATATATATATTATTTAAATTATTGACATTTAAATAGATTGTGATGTAACTATTGTTTTTTGTATTAAGTTGTCCCCTATAGTTAGGTAACGTTATATATGAATAATAATACTGTAATAAAAAAATTTTTTAATACTGTATAATAGCAACAATAATACTGAACGCTGATTGGCTGAACACACATGTGTTGTTGTTGTTACCATTGATAGTGTGTTTGTAAATTGTGTAATAAACTACACGTGTGTTTGTCATCCTATTGTCAATAATTGGATTGCATTTTAATGTCACAACTATTGACTAATTTATACAAATTGTAAGGACAGGTAGTTATGTAAATCGGACACTACCTGCTAGTCCTACTGTAGATGATATAGACTATTCAAATGTTTTCAAAGTTTAAAGGCATCAAATCGTATGAAACAGACGACAAACTGTTGGCCGAAGATAGCAATAGTATGCCCGCCGTTATTGTCAATGATGTCGATAGCAGTAAAAATGGTTCACCTGTTGTTCATCAAGAGATTATGACCACTGAAGATCATCGGCCGATGAAAAGACTGCGTACAACAAGTGGTGGTTGCGATGATTTGGATTCTTCGGTGGCGTCAACCACTAAATTGGTGTCCAACGAGAAACGATTGAAGACATTGAAAGATAAACAAGATTTTGATAAACGTCAGCAACTGTTGGTCAAAGAGGCCATCAGTGGCGATAAACGACAAAACAAACGTATTGTTTTTACTGATGATGACGACAATGACACCAAAGCAAATGATGAGTTATTTGGTGGTAAAGTGAATGACTATTTGTCACAAATAAGACGGGAATCAAGTGATGCTAATAATGGATTGAAAGCCACTAATAAAAAGCCGACGATTTCACTGTTTGAAAGCGATTCCGATGATAATGATGGCAGTGGTGATGATAATGTTGATGTCAAAGAGTTTGAGAGCAAATTAAATACGAAGATTAGCGATAAAAATGTCGAAAAACTGATTGAATTGAACTCCCGGTTCGCACATGACGTTAGATTCAAAATTGATGAAAGATTTTTGGATCAAAATGAAGATAACGATGAAGAAGAAGGAGATGAGTTTGAAACTGAAAAGCAAAAGAATCTGAATTTATTGGAATCAGTTTTGAACAAAACAAACATCAAGTCGTCTATAATAAAGATCAAAGACAAGTCATCGCAAAAGCTTAATGAAGATAATCTATTTATTTCACGATTTGATCCCAAAGGTGCTAATCCTTCGGCTTTTGAAGTGACGATACCATCCGATGAAAATGTGTTAAAATCATCAAAGAAAGTAACATTTGATGAATCGGTTCTAAATAAAGATGAATCTAAGAATGAAGTGTCAAAAGAGGTCTACTATGAAGTTAGTTCTGATCTGAAGGAGTCCTTCTCCAAAAAGGGAGAAAACTTTTCGTTAACACAACTGTTTGGCACAAGTAGTAGTGCACCGGATAGTGATGAAGATAACGACACAGAAGAGCCGGCAATTGTTAAACCTATTACTTATGATAAATTGGATCCGAAAAAAGCAAAATCATTGCCAAATCCTTTCCGATACGACAGCAGCAGTAGTGATGATGAAGTAGAAGTAGATGACGTAAATCATGTAAAGATAATCAAAAACACTAGTGATGTAACTCAAGTGCCGGAAAAACCATTGCCAAATGGTTTCAAATTTTTTTTCACTAAAAATGATTGTCGTTTCGATGAAGACATCTTCTATAGCAAAGAGGCTATCGATAAGGCAAAGAATAGTTGGAAAGACAGGCAGACAATGATTATACGATCGATGGGTGTCCGCAAACGGTCGGCCAAAAAGAATAAAAAGGCAGACAACAAATGGATGGTTAAGTTCAAGAAGAATGGTTACCAAAAAAGATTTGGTTATAATCAGAGAAAGTGACAAAAATAATAGTAATAATTAATGATTTTTTTAAAAACAATATTTTAAGATATATTTGTACATAAATTGTGTGTAAATAAATAATAGACTACTATTTAGAAATAAATGATTTTTTTTATAAAAATGTAATGATTTTTATTTGATTAGAAATTTGTTTTATAATATATGAAATAAAATTGTTGTCAACAACAATAACACACACACATACTAATGTATGGATCAATTTCAATGACTATTAATTACGATAGATATCTACTCTGTTATCGGGTTACCGATCTACTCCTCACAAGCCATAGTCAATACGTCTGGCCCGCAGTTCGTCAACCCATTCCTCGAGTCGTTGATTTCCGTCCTTTTGATTACCCCAGTAGTCTTTCGGCGGCTTTCCTTCGACCAGCCGTACAAAGTAGTGACAATGAAAATAGCGAATCTCACCGAACCTCATGCGCGCGTGCTTTCGGATACCTTTGACCACAAAGCCTTTGGTGGCAAAACTTTCGCCGATCCACATATTCGAACGAAACTCGAAATTATGGTCCCGAACGGCCAACTCCTGGGCCTCCAGTAGTATCTCTTTGACAATTTGGGCGCCTTTTTTCGGCACAAACGACAACTGTTTAACGGCCTCATCGATAGACATCCCGCGGATCTGATCATTTGATTATTACCGATCAGAGATAAAGTTAGATAAAAACAATTGTCCACTGGTTGACCATTGAGAAGAAGATATGATACTTACAAAACTGGTTATAAACCACATCTTTTTCGGCGAATACTTGATGTTTGACCGATAGTGACAATAGGTCTGCAATAGTCATGTAATGTGAATGAAGATGTTATTAGATTTCGGTATATTGTGAATGATATGATAATCGGTTTTTATTTACCCGAATGTTTGGAGTGGCGTCCAATTCGGTAGTCGGCGGCAAAACTATTAGATTTTTTTCCGGCCAACGTTTCGGTTCCGGATAGGGCCGGTTCTGGGCCGTGTCGTACTGGTAGGTACGGCACACGCGGCCAGTGGTCAGACATCGCATGCCACCATCGCTGACAACCGCCAACAGTGGTGATGATCGTAATAATTGTTGTCCACCAGTTTGGCCGCCGATAGTAATAATGTGTTTCAATAGTAATGTATTTAACATTTTTGTTATTAAATATTAATACAGTATTTATTACATAAAGTATATCAATAATAACGTCAACAATGTTTACATTATTTAACATTAAATTGAATAAAAAATTATTAGACGTTATTGATATCCAATCAAACATTATACGTATTATACAAATTGATTGGCGGTTTAGTTATTATTATTATTATTAATATTAGTTATTATTAGTTATAATAATTATTTCTGAACTTTACTTATATTATAAAAAAATAAAGTTTTTACGAATCATACAGTGATTTGTTTGTACTTTTAATGTCAGTCGCAAACAAACAGATTGTTAGTAAAGATCAGTCGTTTAGGCGTCGATTGAGAAATAAAAGTCATAAAAATAAATCATTACTAAAGTTAGTATTAAGTAAATCAATTAAAAATGTTAGGATGGATCAAATCAACGATAATAACACCATTACCACCAATAACAACAACATTACCACCACTGATGGCGAGATGTCAGACAATGGTAGACAACAAAAGGTTTGTTGAAAAATAATTTACAAAATATATATTTTTTATATACAAACCCAATGTTATTAAACAAAACAGTATTAAAAGTGTGGATACAGATAGCGTATACATTTGGGAATTAGTTTATACCAGTGATTAAGTTTAAGTGGTATTAATGATAACTTTTTTTATAATAAAAATTATAATAAATAAAATAATTATTCATAGATAACATAATAATTTTTAATTAAGTTTTTAAAAATACATTACAATAAATAATAACTAATATTTTTAACTATGACTAAGATAAAACATTTATTTAATTTGTACTAGTCTATATATGTGTGATTTACTTTTATCATTGTACTTTTCATAAATTATAATAATAACTAAAAAAATTGCTATATATAAAGTTAATCACTGGTTTATACTAAATATATATATATGATAAACAATAGATTCAATTTAAAAAATGACCATGGACATTGTGATAATTGTAGATAAATGATGTCAAACAACGTTGTTCTATGTGTTGTCATAATCTTCAATTCGATGTCAGTATAATAAATTGTGGACACATTTACCACAATAGTTGTCTTAAGTTATTAATAGATGTTAATAAACAATTAAACCACAAACAAATCAAATGCTGTCGATGCCGTCGACAAGTGGACAGTCAATTGGTGGCCGATTTTCTTAAGTATTTGTTGTCCACTAGAATCGGCAATCAGTTAGAATTGTGTCCATCGACTCACAATATCGATGTACCGAATGTTAATCGTAGTGACTTCCAGGTAATTGTACCCAACATTGATCACACCGTTGACTACATGTGCACTAAATAATTATCTTATTTTTTGTTGTTGTAGTTGTTTGGCATTAGTAAGGATGGCTTCGTAATACTAATGAACGAAAAGGGCGACACTCGCGATGATCTACGCGTACCGGACGGCGAAATGGGCACAAAAATGCGTGAAGAGTACGGCAAAGAGGACAACACTGTTATTGTAAGTCAATTTAATAGGACATACCTTATAGTCGGTCATTCAAATCATTTGTTTTATTATTTAAATATATATATATATGTGTTATAATTATTGATTTAATCCATTGTCTTAAAGGTAACAGTGATGTCTGCTGTCGGTGAGGAAGCGATAATCGCCTGTAAGAACGCCACCTCATAGTCGGATGACTTCCCCATTGTTTATAAGAAGAAATAATTTTTAAAAGAAATGTCAAATATATGTATCCAATTGTGTCTCTCAGTGCGCTCTCCTCTGACTGCACCACAAAAAAACAAAACAATATTTCAATTGAATCCAAACAAAACAAATTAACTTTATTTAGTAGTTTCAAAATTTTTAAAAGTATATATATATTTACAACAACAACAATATATTACATATATTTGAATCAAATTACAATAATTTGATTAATAGTAAATAATAGAATATTTTCTGAAAATTTTTGTTATTAAAAAATGATTGTTTTTTATCAATTAGAAAGTAAAATAAAAGTTTTTTTTACAAATTTTAACTAATTGTAACCAAATTACACAAAGAAAAGTTATAATTTTAATTATAAACTACAGTATTATCTCATATATTAATAATAATAAAGAAATAGTATTTTATATTTGAATAATTTATTGTTTATTCAATTTTGATTATTTGTATAAATGATAAGTTAATAACAAATGTTAAATTTTTTTTAGAGAATTATATTCTTGAATTAAAGTCACAAAATAATTCATAAAAAGTTCATTAAACTATTTAATTGATTTAAATCATATGTTATATAAAATATATATTACCTAATTTTTTTTAGCTAATTAAATATATTTTTTAAAAACTAAAAATAACAAATTCGGTAAAACTACTAGACTTTTCGGGCCGTTTCGACTCCGGATACGACCGGTTCTGGGCCGTGTCTTAATGGTAGGTACGGCACACGCGGCCAGTGGTCAGACATCGCATACCGCCGCCACCGGCAACCGCCAACAGTGGTGATGATCGTAATAATTGTTGTCCACCAGTTTGGCCGCCGATAGTAATAATGTGTTTCAATAGTAATGTATTTAACATTTTTGTTATTAAATATTAATACAGTATTTATTACATAAAGTATATCAATAATAACGTCAACAATGTTTACATTATTTAACATTAAAATGAATAAAAAATTATTAGACGTTATTGATATCCAATCAAACTCTATATGCATTATTTAAAGTGATTGGCGGCTTATTTGTGTTGTTATTATTGTTATTTCTATACTAATAAAAAATACATAAATAATTTTAGATTTATTTATTGGGCGTGTTTATAAAGTTTTAATTAATTAATTTACAATTTTTTTTAAAGGTCGTATTAAATGAGTGACCCCAAACCCAATATAATAACCAATGGTTTGAAGCGTAGACGTCGCAAAAAATATAAATCATTACTTAAGATTGTGTTAATAAAGTCACTGAAAAATAATTATAATAACATTTATCAATATATTGATCCATTGGATACCACTAATGATGATAATCGTTACCAACAAGAGGTGTCCGATAAGGATGAAAAGTTTTTTTTTAAAAAAAAATAAACAATAATTTTTTAGTTTAATTATAAAAAAAGATTACATATTTATATTATATTTATTAAATATTTTAAATTAACAAATTTTTAACTAACTATTTTTAACCCGAGAGTATACTAAATATATAAAATAAATAAATAATAATTATTATTAATTGACAGACAAGATCTCTGGTGGAACCGGATTCTGTTAGAAGCGCTCAACATTTCAGAGATGTAACCAAACGGAGGCTCTCTATCATTGGTACGGAGGCTACCGATGGCCAGAGCTGTCCACTATATAGCCCGAAACGGCTTGATATTGTTTCCAGCAGTGATGAGTGCACTGTTAGTCCAAACACCAGCGGCAATTCGGGTCAGTCAGCCCTGAATCTATCGTTAGGACCGAAACCACTGCCTATTGAGACCAGTCAACCGAACCAAATGTTTCTAAAGTTTTTCAGTCCAACATATCAGATACAGTGTTCATCATTGCGTAAGAACGGGTTTGTTATGATCAAAGCCCGTCCCTGTAGGGTATTGGAGATATGCACCAGTCTATCACATTTGGTTAGTTTTTGTAGTTATTTATTAATGTTATATTTTTATGTCTATTTTCCTTCAATAGGTCTATTTCAGAGGCAATGATATCTTTAGTGGCGAACAAATTGAGGCCCAAATACAAGAGAGTCAATACATTGATGTACCGAACATAATATATTGCGATCTTCAGGTATGTTAATCGTAATGATAACTGTCCTCAACACTACCTGTTCACTAACCATATAAACTTTTATTTTTTTATAATTAATAATAATCTTAATTTTTTGTTGTTTTATAGTTGACTGGCATTAGTGACGATGGCTTCGTCACACTAATGAACGAAAAGGGCGACACTCGCGATGATCTACGCGTACCGGACGGCGAAATGGGCACAAAGATACGTGAAGAGTACGGCAAAGAGGACAACACTGTTATTGTAAGTCAATATAATAGGACAGACCTTATAGTCGGTCATTCAAATCATTTGTTTTATTATTTAAATATATATATATWTGTGTTATAATTATTGATTTAATCCATTGTCTTAAAGGTAACAGTGATGTCTGCTGTCGGTGAGGAAGGATAACGAGTGCTTTCCCCCATGTCGGAGAATAGGTGACGGAGATCACGTGATCTCCGTCACCTATTCTCCGTCATGTTATATGGGGGAAAGCGATAAACTCGCGATAATCGCCTGTAAGAACGCCACCTCATAGTCGGATGACTTCCCCATTGTTTATAAGAAGAAATAATTTTTAAAAGAAATGTCAAATATATGTATCCAATTGTGTCTCTCCTTTGACTTCACCACAAAAACAAAACAATATCTCAATTGAATCCAAAACAAAACAAATTAACATTATTTAGTAGTTTCAAAAAAGTTTTTAATTCTATAATAACAACAAATTATTACCTATATTTGAGTCAAATTACAATATTTTTATTAATTAATGATAATCTTATAAAAAAATAATAATAAAAAAACATTACTTAATTATATATTTAAATTACGGTATCAAATATTAACATTTTTTCCCTGAATATACTAAACATATTAAAAATAGCTTTTTTTTATCTATTAAAAAGTAAAGTACAATTTTTTTTTAAATAGTTTAACTAATTGTAACCTAATTCCACACAAAAAAAGTTATAATTATAAACTACAGTATTTATCAAATAATAATAATAATAAAGAAATAGTATTTTATATTTGAAAAATTTATTGTATATAAAATTTTGATTATTTGTATAAATTATAACAAATGTTAATTTTTTTAGAGAATTATATTCTTTAATTAAAGTCACAAAATAATTCATAAAAAGTTCATTAAACTATTTAATTGATTTAAATCATATGTTATATAAAATATATATTACCTAATTTTTTTTAGCTAATTAAATATATTTTTAAATAACTAAAAATTAAAAAATTGTTGAAACAAATGTTACAAATATACAGTATTATTAACAGTATTATATTAATTATATGTTTATTAAATGATAATAAAACTACATATTATTTTCGAGAAATATTTTTATTTAATTTTTTCTAATTAATAATTTTATTAAAGTCATATAGAAATATATTTTTTAAAATTTTTTCATTTACTGATTAATGATAACTTTGTAACAAAAAAATAACACAATTTCAACAAAAATGTTTATGAATTATCAATTGATGATAACATTGTCAACAATTACTACAATTTTGTTGTTGCAAACAATACCCGGAAATTGTTGGCAAATATGTCGTTACGATATCGAAACCAAAATGATTGAATACGAAAGAATAATGGATCAGATTAGCGATAGTCGGGAATCAGGTAATGCCGCCGATATTGGACAAGACTATGATGACTGGAAAAAACAGTTTCAATGGCCAGACATTTCCCAATTGATACCGCCCGGCATTAACATTCCCGGTTTGAGTCCCGGTTCGGGTACACCACCGGGACTGCCGCCGACAATTCCCGGACTAACTGATTCGGATCTGAACAAAGCTATCGACAATCTGGTCGGTCTATTAGAGGGATTGGTTAAAAATGTTCAACAAGTAGTTACTTGGCTACAGGCGCTCAAAAAGAAGCCGACCAGTGTTGACCAGCCAGTGTCTGATTCATCGGCGGCAACGGCGCCGCCAACTCAAGCTGATCGCCAATTGAATAGTCTAATCAAAGATATTGCCGATACTTATCAGCCATTTATTAGATTAACCGAAAAACTTAGCGAAATATTTGCAAATTATGTTAAAAAGATGGCAATTAAAGAAAATTAATTTTTATATTTTTTGTTTGTTTTTATTTTACTTGTATTTTTTGAAAATATTACTGTATTTTTTCAATAGTTTAATTTGTGTATTTTTAGAGAAAAAAACTTTCATAACATATGCTAAAAATTTTTAAGTAATTTTTTTTAAAAATATACTAAACATTTTAATTGCTTTTATGAACCAAAAAAAACAAATAAATAATATTTTACATAATATGTTAATAAACTTTTATGTTAATTAAATTTAATTAAAAAACATTTAATTTAGTTAAACATTTATTGTAAAAATTTGTTTTTTTCCATATAAATATCAATTAATATAATATGTGGCATAAGTTATCTAGCTAATTTAAATATTGTACATTCATTTAATATCTATAATTATAGATATACTGTACAATATTTAAACTGGTATAAATAGGTATCGCATAAAATTTAAATTAGCAAAAACTGTATGTTTTATTTGAATTTTAAACACTTAGTTAGTTATCATGAATATTATTATCATTATAGGCAGTGCACTGGTATTAGTAGTCGCCACCAGTAGTTCCATAACCACTGTGCTGGCCGATGATTCTAACCAGCAATGTTTGGATCAAATTGAAATCAAATTCAAACAATATCACCAACAGTTAAGGGAACTGCTGAAGACACAGATAGCCAACAAATTGTCACAACTGCAACAACAAGAGGAGGAACAGTTAGATAATAAATTACACCATAATAATCATCATAAACAGGGCGATCGGGCTGGAGGGCCCAATTTGAACCAGGTGCTCGAACAGGTCGGCAATCTGGGAGGCATAATGAGCATATCGTCGGTATTGAACCCACAGAATATAGCCATTGCCAACTTGGGCCAGACATGGAATCAGGTTAGCCAACCGTGGCTTACGGTCAACAATCAGGCCCAACAGTTTATCGGACAGTTAATTGGCGGTATAGGTAGCGGATCAGCCAAAAATGATACCAACAACGATACCGACAATATCATTGTCAAGGATATACTAAACGATGTCTACCAGACTATTGGATCGTTTGGTAAGATTATCGATATTATTGATCAGATTATTGTTGATAATAAAGCTAATAAACCTAATGGTAATAAAAATCAGATCAAACATTGATTGAAAGTTTTAAAAAAATTAAATTAATGTTTATTTTTTAATTTGTTAACTCTAAAAAATTGAATATTGTATTTATTAAATATTTAATAGAAAAAAAATTATTTTTATTATTCAATGGAAAATAAATTATTAAAATTGAATGCAAACCATATGGTTAATTAAATGCGTTAAATAAATTAAATTATAATTTTTTTAATAGAAATTTTTAGACAAAAAATATTTATTATTATAATTTATATTTTAATTTATTGCAAATTTACAGTAAAGTTAGAAATAAGTGAATTGTAATAAATTTAATAATGAAATAAATTAAATGAGATAACGTAAAGTATAAATTAATTTTAATTAGAAATAAACAATATATTTATTGTGTTATTAATTGAATAAATTATATTATAGTATATTGTAACATACTATAAAAAAAATCTTTATATATAAAAAATTATACAGTATTAGTAAATATTTTCATAATTAATAATTATATTTATAAACGTTAAATAATTAACTTTAATTGTTTATTGTTTCATTGTTTTTTTGTGTTCAATATATGTGACTAAAGTGACTAAATATTTTATTCATATATAGTTTACAATTACAATTACAACACAGATATATATACTGTATTATTGTTGATTATGTACTTTTAATATAATGACAGTTAAAATAAGTGATTAAGCGATGCAATAAAATTTTATTTTCTTTTTTTTAAAAATAATTATTACTCGACAATATTTTATTTTAACTATTTTATTATTAATTACAAATAAATTAAATTTATATTCATACTGTGGTTATGTATACCGTATCTGATATGGGATTGTATTAAATCATCGAAAAAATCAATTCAATGGAATTACTATAATATCAGCCGTTTATTGATAGCTATTGTTTGCACTGGCGTTACATTAGTTGATTGTATACTATGTTTGCGTCGGAGGTTTCTATCGGATAACAATCCAACCATTGCTTATATATTGGCAACAATTATACAATTTATTACAAGACTAGTTTTATGTCTAGTTTTCTATTGTCACCGCAAATATGGTATTCATAGTAGTGGTTGTGTTTGGCTATATCTAGTGTTTGACACTGTTTTTGGCTCCTTATCGATGTCAACATATATCAGACAACCAGAGATACGACAATATTATGAATTTATATTATATTGCATTGAATTTTCATTGACAGTAATCTTACTATTATTTTGTTCATTTGCTGACCGATTGCCATCGATTAATGATTATATATTATCTAATGATAATGTTTGTCCTCAAGAAATATCGTCATTTCCATCTAAATTAACCTATCATTGGATCAGTGGATTGTTAATAAAATTTTGGCAAAAAAAGACATTAAAAGTTGACGACCTGTGGACTGTTAGGCAAAACAATACAGCTTTAGTTAATTATAAGTGTTTTGATAAACATTGGAATAATGAGAAACATAGTAATCAAAATAATTTATTAAATAATAATAATAATAATAGATTAAAATTATCCGTATTGTCAAAGTTTACTAAAACAAAAATTAAAAATATCATAAACTTATCAGGGTCATCATCATCATCTAATAGTTTGATCTGGGTCCTATTTAAAATGTATGGCCTAAACTATCTATTAATTAGCTTAATAGTTATTATAGCTGGATGCATTAGAGTGTCACAACCATTGATTATTAGGTAAGTTTTTAGTCACTAATAATTATATTTATAAATATATAATAATTATATTGTTTATAAACAAAAAAAAAATTAAGATTATTAATAGATTTCACATCAAATCCCAATGAACCCAAATGGCACGGATATGTATACATTATGGCACTGATTATCATTAATATGTTTTACTCGTTTACATTTAGTTATTATTTAGAAAAATCAAACGTTTTGGGTATATATCAATATATATATATCAATATTAATTAATTTTATAATTAATTTTCTCATTTTTAAATATATATATTTATATAATATATACTAATTTGATAATTAAAAAATTTAAAAATAATTAGGTCAACAAATCCGATCGTGTCTTACATCAGCTGTATATCGCAAATCATTAGTTTTCAGTAATAATAATAGTGGCAAAAGTATAGTAACTACGGGTGTAATAATCAATTTATTGGCCATCGATTGCACCCAATTTTCTGGTAAATTAAAAAAATTAAATTATAATACTGTATACAATAATCTAGTTTTATAAAATTAATAATTTAGTTTAATATAGTAATAAAAATTATTTTGTTAAAATTATATATATATAGATGAATTATGGAAAGTTATTAATGTGTTTCAATCTCCTATACAAACATTGGTTATCATTTATTTGTTATATAACGAGTTGGGTGTGTCATCGCTAATTGGTTTAGTTATAGTTATATTAGTATTTGCTTCAAGTTTTATATTATTGAAATATGTCCGACAATTTGCTATCAAACAAATGTTAAGTAAAGATAAACGCATTCATCTGACAAATGATTTATTGAATGGCATTAAAGTGATAAAAGTAAATATTATTAAAATTATTTTTTTTCTGAAAATAAAATAAAAATTAATTTTATAATTACAATGAATTGATAGTTATATGGATGGGAAAAAGCATTTTACAAATTGATAGCCAATTTGTGTGCCATTGAAATGAAACAATTGCGTGGATCGCAGATACTTAAAACAATTTATGTTATAATAACATTATGTGCGCCCTATTGGCTATTATTGGTCACATATATCGGTTACGTTTATATCGGCGATAATAGTAAAAGTACCGTAAAATTAGATGCCAGCAAATTGTTTGTACCGTTTGCCCTGTGTCAATTTATTAAAAGTATTTTTGTTATGTTTCCAATGGGAAAAAGTTCACTGATTAAGGTATTGAAAACATTTTATAAATCTAACATTATATTTAAAAAATAAATAAATAATTTATTTATTATTTTAATGTATTATTTAGATTATGATAGCAATCGGACGATTAAATAATTTTCTAAACTTACGTAACAAATGTGATTACGTGACCCATAATACAGACAAATACGTGATTAGTGTTGAAAACGGATCGTTCACTTGGGATGCACTCAAATGTGACACAATTTTAACTAATTATAATTTTATGTTAAAAGATATTAGTTTGCAAATAAAAGACAAACAATTTGTGACAATAGTGGGTAATGTGGGCTCAGGTAAAAGTTCACTACTGGCCGCACTGTTCGGTGAAATGCAACGATTGTCCGGAAACCTTAATATTGGTGAGGATAGTAAAATAGCTTACGTTCCCCAACAGGCATGGATACAGAATGCATCGCTCAAAGATAATATACTTTTTGACAAACCATTGGATACCAGTTTATATAAACAAGTAATACATAGCTGTGCTCTAATACAAGACTTAAGACAACTGCCCGCTGGAGACCAGACAGAGATCGGCGAGAAAGGCATTAATCTGAGCGGAGGTCAGAAACAGAGAGTCAGTTTAGCCCGAGCTATATATTCTGATGCCGACCTATACCTATTGGACGACCCATTAAGCGCAGATAATTTGATTTACATATATCTAACGAATGATAAGATTTAATTAACTATATATTTTAAGTGGACAGTCATGTGGGCAAACATCTAATGCAAGAAGTGTTAGATTCAAGGACTGGTATATTGAAAAATAAAACCCGAATTCTTGTAACAAATCAACTCTTTGTGTTACCAAATGTTGATCTGATTGTTGTCTTAAATGACGGCAATATTACAGCAATCGGTTCATATGATTATCTGATGAATGAAAACAAAGAGTTTTTCGATTTAGTAAAAAAGTATTCAAATTCTGATAAAAATAGTGATAATAATAATAATAATAGCGATATAATTAATAATATAATTAATAATAAACAAGATATTAATATAATCAATAAAAATAAACGACTCATTGATGATGAATATATTGAAACAGGAAATATTAATTATATGGTAATACTAAATAATTTTTTAATCATTTACATTATGTACTAAAAAATGTAAATAATTTATTTTATTTTTTTTTTGTTTATAAAATTATTATTAGGTTTATTTTAAATACTTTAAACAAATGTCAATATTATATACAACTTTGACGATAGTGTTTTTAATACTATCTAATGTTATAACAATTGCTATAAACTTTTGGCTAAACCAATGGAGTCAACAAACCGATAGCCAACAAATCGGGTATTATTTGATAATTTTGGTCATTTATATCGCCGGTTATTCGGTTACAGTAGCTATCAGTCGGTTTGCAATGCTTTTCGGTTCTCTGTTGGCGTCGACCCGAATGCATGAGAAGCTGTTGTGGTCTGTCATGAGATCGCCGATGAAATTCTTCGACACCACACCATTGGGACGTATAGTCAACCGGTTTAGTAAAGACATCGACACTATAGATATCAGCGCTTTATTTAATTTAAGGTTTGTTTGTATCGTATGTTTTAAAGTTAGGTTTTTTTCTATTATGAAATATATAATATACTAAATTTATACTATGGATACACAAAAAAAATTTTAACAATAAATCCTAATTATTTATAATATTATTTACTAATAATTTACTTGAATTATATTTTTTCAAATAAAATAGTAATGTTTTAGAAACAACTTTAATATGCTTATCGGGACTCATAATAGTTTCAATAAAAAATCCACTATATTTTGTGCCCTTTATTTTAGTGCTAATCGTATTTTATATTATCCAGGCAAGTTTTAAAAATTATACAATATTTTAATAATACTTATATTAATATTATTTTTTTAAAAATAGCATTACTATACAATGTTTTCGTGTCAAATTAAACGGTATTCAAATTAATTGCTTTCAATTGTGTAAAACTATCTTATATTTAAATTTATTTATATACTGTATATATAGTTTAGAGTCAGTCACTCGGTCACCTATTTATGCCTTTTTTAGTGAAACATTAAATGGTTTGTCTAGTATTAGGGCGTATGGATGTACTGACCGATTCATTAGACGTATGGAGTTATTGGTCGACACTAACCAACGATGTTTATATCCAAATATTATTGCCAACAGTTGGCTTCAATTACTATTGGATAGTATAGCAAATGTTTTGATATTATTTGCCGCACTGTTTGTTATATTAGACAGACAATCATTTAGCGGCGGCGATACCGGTATGTCGCTGTCCAACGTAATCAATCTATCCTTCACTGTAGGTATTGTCGTACGAATGATTACACAACTTGAGGACAGTATGGTTTCGTTTGAGAGAATAGACGAATATTGTAGACTCGCTCCGGAAGCTGATTGGAATTTACAAAAACAATTACCCGATAACTGGCCAAACATGGGATGCATTGACTTTCAACAATATAGTACCCGATATAGAGATGGATTAGATTTGGTTTTAAATAAAATCAATTTGCAGATAAAATCGGGCGAAAAGGTTATTAATATTATATATATTATATTATAATTAAAATACTGTATAATTCATTGCATAACAGATTGGAATTGTTGGCCGAACCGGTGCGGGAAAGTCATCACTCAGTTTGGCATTGTTTCGGTTGATTGAGTCATCTTCTGGTAGAATAATCATCGATGGCATTGATATCAGTGAATTGGGTCTCCACGAGCTGAGGACACGACTAACAATACTACCGCAAGACCCGGTACTCTATACGGGAACCATTCGCTCAAATCTGGATCCGTTGGGCATTTGTACCGACAATGACTTGTGGTCAGTGTTAGAGCACTCGCATCTCAAGTCGTTTGTCAAATCATGCGATGGCGAACTGGACTATCGGGTTAGCGATGGCGGTTAAAATTTGAGTGTTGGTCAGCGACAACTCATATGTCTGGCCCGGGCTTTGCTACGCAACACACGTGTGCTTATCCTCGACGAGGCCACGGCTGCGGTAGACGTCGAGACCGACGCACTTATACAGCAAACAATTAGACAACACTTCAATTCAAGTACTGTACTAACTATAGCTCACAGACTCAACACAATTATGGATTCAGACCGTGTGTTAGTGCTAAATGATGGACAGTTAGCTGAATTTGATTTGCCTATCAATTTGTTGAGTGATAGCTCATCTATTTTTTACTCTCTGGCCAAAGATGCCGGACTCGTTTAAAATTGTATTTTTAAATTACTTTATTTTTGAAGTAATTATTTGAATTACTTTACAATAGTCAGTGTGGTATAAAAAGTATCAGTTGAAAAAAATTATAAAATCTACAAAAATTTTATTTTTTATTTATTTATTAAATACTACGGTTAAGCTACTTATTTTTAAATTTAATTAAATTCAGTGATTGATTGCTATTAATTTAAAAGTTTAAAATATATATTTATTGTATTTACTGTATATAATAAACATATGAAATTAATAATATAAACAATACAATTTCAATACATATTTACAATACCTATTTATAAATTAATAAAAAAAATTAAACAGTTATAGTTTACAGTTATGTACTGTATTTTTCAATTATGTAATTTTAATTTTATATTAATGAAAATGCATTGATTTGATTGTCGACCCAAATATGTCTATTGAAATCATTGCGAAGTCTCCGATTAATAGACCTGACTGTCACCTGATTATCACCACTTGATTGTCTTATAATATCTAAAAACTGTCGCAACGACTGAACCGGTTGTCCATTGATCTCAACAATTGTTCCATCGATGTCATCGTTGAACATAAGTTGTTCACTATTATCACAAATATAACATCAAAAAAAACATAAGATTATTATTAATTTCATCCAAAATTTATATATATATATATTAAAAAACAAATTTAAACTATTTTATTGGGTATTACATACTTGCCGACTGTAGGTACAGCCACTGTATAGTTAATGATATTTAAATTGGCTCTTATTGTCCGAAACTGTAGCTGAAGTCCCATAAGCATTGTGTGCTGTTGGAGCCGGACATCTACCTGTCCGACACTGTACTGATTGGCCCGTTCATAGAAAGCTATAATATATATAATAGAAAAATCATAGTAATTAAATGATAATTTTTAAAAAATTAATCAATTAATTAGATTCAAAAACTATATATATATGATAAGCATTTACATTTAATCTCATTGGCAGTGCCGGCAAAAAAGTAACGGCGCGCCGCATTAATGCAACACGAGTAGCCGACCAACTGGCCAGAGGTGTTGAGGACGGGACCGCCGGACATTCCCGATATCATTTCGGCGCTTGTATGCATCATTGGTTGATCAACAGTTTTGTAGTGTTGAATATAGACAGGCATTGCATCGGTAGACAATAAACTGGCCGGACATTGTATAGAACCTGGAAACCAGTCGTATTGTTCGTGATAAGTGGACGGCACACCAATGGTCAGCACTGGGTCGCCAAAATCTGCGATAGACACGTCGGTCACTTTTAGGTCAACATTGGATACATTGCTAAACACTATAAGTGCCAAATCGTGTTGCGGTTCGCTATACAGCACCTGACCGACACCGATATTGTTGTTTTGGTGATCAATAATAAAACAACTGTTCGACTGTCTGGTTACGTGTGCACATGTTGTGAACACTGTCCGACCATTGGGCTGGACATCGACCACACAGGCCGTCCCAGTGTACACCTCTTGACAGGCCAACCATATATCGGTGTTAAAGACAATTATGCGAACAAATTTAGTCAACGCATCGTCTATTATACTACTGTCCATCATATGAGCCGTTTTGACACCAATTGTATTAATAAATTCATTGATCTGTATGTGTCTGTCGGTTTTAAAACTAACTGTCCTATTGTGCCATAAATGATAACCACTTAGTTTAACAACAAATGGTTTGTAAGATCTGCTTTGAATTGAATTGATAGAAACCTTTGAATTATTGTATCATTTTTAAAAAAAATATATATTTTATTTTACATACTGTTTAGCTAATAAACAAATCAATTTGTTCATAACTGTTGACTATTTTAAAAAACTAGTGTTTAAATTATTATATCAATAAAAATAAATTATTTACATTAATTAGTAATTACAATAAACTAATAAAAATTAAAGCTATAAATTATTATAACTGTCTTAAAATTTTATATTAAATTATTTAAATTTTATATTATTTTTTGTTGTTGTAATAATATCATGATTTACAACTATAGTTATTATTCTACATTTTTTAAAAATAATTTTTTATATTATTGTTTCGTTCAAATAATAAGAATAATGATATCATAATAATATTTAAAATATTACACATTAATTGCATAATTAATACAATATTTTATTTTTATTATCTATAAATAAACATTATCAACAACAAAAAAAATATTACACATTAATTGCATAATTAATACAATATTTTATTTTTATTATCTATAAATAAACATTATCAACAACAAAAAAGTCAAATTTAATAATATGTTATTTTTTATATACTGTATAAACTTTACCAGTATATACCGTACAACATATAAAATTTATAAAACTTGTATGCTTATAATTAATTTTAATTCAATATTTTTTTGTGTAATTTAAATGCTTTTAATAAATTTAATATATATAWAGGATATAAAAAAATATAATATAATCAAATAATATACTGTATATTTATTTATTTTTATATTAAAGATTTTTTWTAAAAATAATTTATCTAATAGCAGGTTCTTTTACTTATAATAAAATGTTCATCCAATTAGCAAAATTTACAAAAAAMTAATATAAAATTTGTTGTAAATTTTAAATTTCTAAAAAATACATAAAACCATAATTTATTTATTTATTTGCAATAGTATTGTGTGATAAATAATTTTTTTATATATTATAGTTTGATGTACAGTATATTTATTTTATCCTATTTCCCCCACTTTTTCCCCCAAATGTGTTTMTTTTATTTATTGGTTAATGTTTGGATTATAGATTTTAAACTCCTCTTCACTGTAATCATTATCACAATCATAACATTTATTTTCATCATCTTTTTCACAACAAATTTTTGCCTCACAAATGTTTGATACTATTAATTGTATAATAATTAATAAATAGTTATAAATAGATTTTCAGTTGATTTTAGTCATATAGTCAAATGAGAGTATAACAAAATAAACTCAACTTTAGTCATGTAGGATATCAAATGACTAAATAAACTCAACTATAGTCATGTAGGGTATCAAATGATTCGGTATAACAAAATAAACCAAACTTTAGTCATGTGGGGGATCAATTTCAGTAACAAAATAAACAACTAATTCAAGTATTTATTAAATGATTAAGTGAAAATCATACTTTTCCCGCCATAAGAAAAAATAAAATAATAATTTTGATCTATTATATCTTATTTTTGATGCTCTAAACAATATAATAAATTTAAAATTTTTATCTAAAATTTTTTACTTTGGCCGCCATTTTCTCTATATTCCCGAAGAGATATCAAAATTTTAATATATATTTCTTATGCTTGTTTTTGATGCTTTATTCAAATCTAACTTAAAAAATTTTTACATAAAAAAATTTCACTTTGGCCACCATTTTGTCTATGTTCCCGAAGAGATAGATCATTTTTGATGCAACTTTTCAATACATTATTAGTAGTCCTCTAAACGAATCTGAAGTCAGAATTTCAAAATTCCCAAAAAAAAGCTACAGACAGACTCAAAAACGGTTGTATAGATTTCAGTAAACAAAACTTTTTCAAAGTTTTTTTTGATAAAATCTAATTTGATTTAATATTAATAAGATTAATTAAAAATAATTTTAATAAAATAACAAAATCGAAAAAATTATTATAACATTAAGTAGTTTTATATAATATACTGCATATAATATGTTAAAATTTATTTTTTATAAATTAATGTACAATAAACTTATAAAAAATTAATAAAAWTTTTCCATGTCTAATACTAATAAATAGTGTCTTGATTTCCAACTAAAAAAATTATTTTGTCGGTTCAACGCTTATAACTTATTAGTATGTCCACATTGACCAGTGGACGTATTTCCGAAATTTTATTATAACTATAAATAACTATTTGTTGGGTTAGCAACTATAAAAACTTATAAATAACTATTTCAGTTATTTTGAAAAATATAATTAAATTGTAAAATTAACAAATATATGTAAAAACAAAAAGTAATAGTTATATAAATTATATAAAATGTGTAAACTGTTATCAACTCATATTAATTTTAACAATAGAAATAATTAGTTTATTTATATAAATCATTTTTGTAAATACGCTAAAATATTTATAAGAAAATAAATAACTATTTCAATAACTTTCAATAACTATTTCAATAACTATTTGGCTTTTTTGGCAACTATATACAACTATTTAATACATTTTAAATAACTATTTTAACAACTATTTGACTTTTTTTAGCAACTATTATAACAACTATTTAATAGAGTATAAAAAATTATTAATCAATACACTACTTATTACAATAATTTGAATATTTTTTTGATATTTTAATAAACTTAAAATAAYTAAATTTTCCAAACATTTTTACAAATTTTCCAGAAATCAAATAATAAATTTTTAAATATAATTTTAAAATAATAATTTTATGCAAATATAATAGTATATAAACTTGGTGTTAACAAATATTATCTATAAGTTTAAACATTAGTTAATGCTAATAATTAAATTGTTTTATTATTAAACTAAAAAACAACATTCAATAGAAAAAATGTATCGATTTGTTKTATTGGTTGCAATGGTTATCGTTGCTATTTGTAAGTTATTTTATATTATAAAATTAAATTTATAGTAAATAATTATTTATTATTTTTTGCTGTTGTAAATTAAAGTAYTAAATAAAAAATGTTAATTATTAATATATATAACAATTATCAATYTTTTAAGACAATTTAAACAATTTAACTTAAATTAAATATTGAATTTAAATAATTTTAGYTTTTAGTCTATAATCTATTTAATCTAWTTTTTWWATTTAAATTAYTAYTGAATTATAGTGTCCAACACTAGCGAAGCAAAAATTTGCTGCAAWTTAARSGGTARWTGYTATCCGTGTTCAGGAAAATAASTATAAATATTATTTGATGAAAACAAACAAATTAATAAATTATAAATAAAATAAGTGATATAAAACTATAAAATTATTAGTTTATTATTAAATTTTATTGATGTTGATAAATAWTTARATGATGTTTTAAATTTAAAAATGTAKCTTGGTAGTTTAGTTTATGCTTTTAACAAGTAAAATTWTGTAACTTTTTTTAAAAAATTGAGATTTTATAAAAAATGYTTGTAATTAAATCAAATGCTTAGTAATCATATAATAKTAGTAATTATGTACTAAATTTTTTTATATTGTTAATTGTTTTATTAATAAAAATTTGTTTGTAATAAAAATAATTTTATATGAATTTTGTATTTTTAATTTAATAAATTATAATATTTTATATTTAATATATATACATATTAAATGCATTTAATTGATATTTAYTATAATAAAAAATTATTATAGATATTTAACTTGATTAGAATTAGACATGGATAAATTTAATYATTTTTTAAATAATTTTTTTAAAATTATTTTTAAAATTATTACATTACCGAGTTTATATAGTAGTAGAATTTAGAGTTTGCAAAAAAATAGAAAATTTCTAAAATAATAGAGAAATTTCTAAAAAAAAGTTTCTAAAAGCTGGGAATAATATGGGAATTCCATAGTATAATAGTAAAGTAAAATTTCTATAGAAATTTATTCATTAGAAATTTACTAGTAATATTTATTTGCCCATCTCTAATATAATTGCAAAAAATGTTTTGAAATATGTTGTYTATGTTTTAATTAATTTACAGTATATATAAATTATATAATAACAAAAACATGTATTATAATCATCATTTTATTAAAAAATATATAATAAATAAAAATTATGATAGGTAACTTTGTTTTTTACAATAGTTTTTTTTAAATAAGTTAATATCAATAATCTATTTGTCTATCATATAATAAATTTTTATGATGCTTATTGTATGTTGATTTACAAGTTATAAATTACAAATGTTTTATATATATATATATATATCAGGGTTAAGCAAGGTTTTGGATTTTAGGGGGGGTAGACCGGGGTAAAATTTACAAAATTCTCGTAAAATCTTGGGGGGGGGGGGGGGGGGGGTATTGGTGGGGTAAGATTTTTATTGCATTTTTAAACGGCAATTTTTTCAAAAATCCAAAATCAAGAGGGGGGTCCAGAGAAAATTCCCTAATATTCCCTTGAATTCCCGAATATTCCCATGTAAATTCAGGAAAATTCCCATAAATTCCCGTATAAATTCCCAGGAAAATAGGTAAAATTTCCAAAAAAATAAAATTTAACAAAAAAAATTTATCAAAAAATAAAATAATTTATTTAAGATTTAAAAATAGTTGAAAAAGCATTAATGATACACTATGTTATTTTTAATATTTTAATAATTTATAACAATAAAATTAATTATATACATAGTAATTAAATAATGTTTATAGTTTATAGGTACATAATTTTATTTTCAAATATATAAATTGACTAAATACAAATAATTTAAGTTAATTAATTATAAATGAAAATAAATAATTAATATCATCAATAAATTTATTTAAAAATAAAAATATATTTATAAAATTAAATTTAAAAACTTGATTAAAATAGAGAAATAGTATAATATATTAATTAATCAGAATCGGAATCATAATCTAATTTTAAATTTTTGGGTTTAGGAGGCGAAATAATGTCATCAGAATCATCGCTATCTTCAACTTGAATGCCAGATCCATGTTTAAGCGCTTCGATAATTTCGACATCATCACTTTCTTCATCATATTCTGTTTCCATTAATTGATTACAAAGTACTACTTTTTCAGGTTTTTTACGTTGTTGTGAAGGATCATCTGAACTCAAATATTTAGCTTGTATCCAATGTTTTGCATAATATAATGCATCAAAATTATCTATATTATTATCTGTATTTAATGTAATTCTTAGCTCACTGTCTATTGGATCATTTGATAATTTGTTTCGAGATTTGGTCTTAATATAAGTTAAGACTGAAAAAGCTCTTTCACATAGACTGTTACTTAAAGGCAAACTAATAGCATATCTGATAATTCTTTTAATATCCGCAAAAAAATTAATTTGAGGATGTGATAAAATTTTTTGCCAAAATTTAACAACTGGTAAAGATTTTATAGAATTAAATTCATCTAATCTTATAATTTGTCTAATCAAATCATCAAAATAGTACGCATTATTATGATCAACAATATTTAGAGTATTCAATATTTTTACATTTTGTTGTAATCCATAAGAATTTACAGGATCAACTCTTGATGGAAAAGAGTTAGGGTTAAATTGAGAAAACATAGAAATTACTTCATAATCAAAGTCAGAATCTAACGAATCTTTTAAATGATTAATAATTTTGTCACATTCTTCACTTAACTTGAATTTTTTGTTAAAATCGTTTTTTAATAATATATTATTAAATAATATATTGTTTTTATCATAGTCTTTAAAATTTTTAATATCCTTCCCATTAGTTGTTTTACAATTACTTAAAAATTGTTTAAGATTATTAGTTTTAGAAATATCTTTTAAATTTTCTAATTGAATTTTTAGATTATCTATAATTTGTTTTTGACTAATTAATGAATTTTCATTTTTTTGCATTTCTTTAGAAACAATATCTAGCTGTTCAATGATATCTGAGAAAAAATGCATATAAATTAAAATTGACTTTCCTTGCAATTTATCTAATAATTTTTTAGCTGTATTGCTTGAACTAAATTTGTCAAAAAATCTAGAATCATTTTGAATAAGGGTTAAACCTTGATATAAAACTTTTAAATTTTTAATAATATTATTAATTACTATTCTACTAGATCCAACCCATCTTGTTGTGAATAATCTACTTTTCATACTGTAGTCTTTCATCAAAATCATCAGCAACTGTTTTTAATATTTCTAATCTTTTATTTGCATGAGCATAGAAAAACTTTCTAAGATCTTCTGATAATAAATCAATATAATTATTCATTTCTAAGTTTCTAAAATTATGCTTAAGCGTAATTTCAAGTTTGTGATTATTACAATGTAACCTTAAAAAATCAAGACGAGAAGTAAAAGCTCTAAATCTTAAATAAACTGAATTTTCTTTTTCAGAGAAAAAAACAGGGGCGTGGTCAGACATAAATGATCTTAAATTAATTTGTAAATATTCATCTATCTTATCATATTTTAAAAATATCATTATTTTATCAAAAATTGAATCAGCATCTTTGTTAATTTCTAAAGGTATCAATCTATAAAATTTTATTTGAACTTCTATATCATCGCAATATATAAAATAAATACCTAAATATGATGTTTTATCAATTGTAGTAACCTCGTCTAACAATATAGTAATATCTTTTGGATTGCTTTTTAATTCGATTATAAAATCTCTGTGCATTACATCAGAAATAAGTTTTGTCATTTTTTTGGCACCCTCTTTGTTTTTATGATGATAACCCATTTCGCTTTCACCAAAATTTAATTCCTGTACTCTAACAATTTTGTTAAATTGATTATAAGATCCATGTAAAATTATATTCAAGTAAGCAGTTCTAAGCATTCTCGAAGTTTTTATCAAATTAGAACCACTTGTATATTCAGTGAGAAGATTAGAGTTCAATTCAGTTGCTTTTAAAATATTTATATTTGATCGTCGTATATATTCGAGTACAGTATTATGACAAACACTTTTATAATGAGTTGTAATAGCATCATTGTTATTTTTTTTAGCATTATTTCCTTTATATAGCATGCCTTCCTCTAAGCTTAGTAAAGGTCTTTTATTTGTAGAAATTCCCGCTTTTTTAGAATATTCAAAACATAATTTACATCTTACTTTTGATTCTTTTTCGTCATTTTTGTTTATTATTAATTCAATCCAATCTTTAGCATTTCTAAATGTTGATAACGATATTAAATCTTGTTTTTTTATTATATCCTCGTCTGAACATTTGTATTCTTTTGTTTGTCCAAACAAATTTTGACTATAAAATTAAATATTAGTATACTTTTTGTCATTTCTTGTTATTAAAATTACCTTGAACTAGGTAGGCTTTCGTATGTATTTAATACATCTTGTTGGCAAATCATTTCTTCTTTAGAAAGATTCTCTTCAGTGTGTCTTACAATATCATATCGATCGTCTGGTACTTGTTGAATTGTTGTTGTTTTTATTTTAATTATAAAATTAGTAGAACTACAATCATTTTCATTATTAATTGTATGCTTAGCAACTTTATAAGTTTCAGGAACGTTTACCATATTCTCAGCAATGTTGTATTTAGGACAACGATTTAATGATAACAATGGATTATAGTTATTAAGTATATAATTTTTTGTAGCATATTCTGGTATTAAAATTGTAATAAACTCTATTGTTTTTTTTAATTCATCATCACTAATGTGTCTAAATACAATACTATCATTAATTAAAGGTTTTAAATTATTTAATATGCTTTGACTATCAAAATTATTAAATTTAGAAGGTGTAGTAAATAACTTATAATTTTTATCATAAACTAATAATAATATATATGGATACTTTTCAGTTGATTTTAATAGTTTGAATAAATCGTCTTTCATTCCAGAAAATTTGATTGATCCGACTTTACCTTTAGATTCATGTCCATGTTGTAAATCTGCTGTTTCGACATTTATTCCGCCAATTGTAAAAAAACCATTTTTATTTGTTTTAAATTTTTGTAAATCAATTATTAAATCAATTGATGGCTTATTTCCTTTACGTTCAAATGCTAGACCTATAATTTTATAACCATGTAAAGACATTTCTTTCGGTTCATCAACTACTTTAAGTTCAATAAAATCATCTTTGTCTAAAAGAGATGAATCTTTCATATAAATTTCATTAAAACGCAAATTAGAAGTTTTATCACAGTCAGTATGAATAACTTGTGAATCTACTGAATATTGTTTATGACATTCTTGAGCTGGTTCATCAATATCTTTTATTTGCGAATGACTTGTTGATGGTCTAATTATAAAAGATTTATAATAAAATCGTAAATTTAAAACCTATTAATAAATTAATTAATTAAATAATAAATACTTACTCGCATTGTGTAATTTTATTTTCTATTTCAACAATCTGTTGTATTTTTTCTCGACCATATTGATCTAATACTTTTTGATATACTTTGAAGCAATCTATTAGTTGTTGAACGCGTATGTTTAATGTAGTATTATCACAATAATATAATGGCGTAGTCATTATACTATCGGCACTCCTTTTAAAACGATTATTAGAAAATAAATAAAAAATTTCTTCGTTTAATACCATATCAATATCAGATGGATAACAATAGTAGAAGTGATCAACAACACCATATCTATAGTAATAAACATAATATGGTATGTAACAATTAACAATTTTAAGTGGTGTATTTCTATTCATAACATTATAAATTTTATCGTATGCATTATTTAAGCAATCAACAAATTCAGTTTTTTTCGGCAAATCTTTGCATACTATATTACTTGAATTATATGGTTTAGGATTTGATCCTATACTTATATATTCAATACGTTTTTTATTTTTAATTTCACTATAATGCAAACTTTCACATTCAATAACTACTGCTGAGTGAACGTGAGTAAAAATATACTCTGGAACTTCACATATAAACGACGAAGTATTATTAAATTTTAAGAAAAACAAAAAAATAAAAATTAGATTACTAAATATTGATTTACTACAAATATACAAATAATCTTTTATCCCATTTCTCAAGTGTTTTCAAATAAATTTTATCATTAAATATAATTTTTCACTTTATATTAAATACTTTTAGTTTATTCAGCACTTTATATCTTATCATTATCTTAGTTATTATATTACTTTCATTATTTAGATTATTAGTTTATTTAATATTAATTTAATTAATACATTTACTTCTTTATATAGTGATATTTTAATTGTTATTTATCTGTTATATATTATTTTAATTATAAAAAAATTTATTAAACAAAATATATTAAAATAAATTGTCAATTTATATTTTCATAAATTTCAAAAAAAAATTTCGGCGCCTTCGGCGCCGAAATTTTAGGGGGGGTCATTTCTCATCGTTTTTAAGCGACAATTTTTCCAATTTGGCCAAAAAGTCTGGAGGGGGTAAAATCCCAAATTCTCGATCTTAGGGGGGGGGGTATTTTGGCCTATATATATATATATATATAAATTTATTATTTATCATTATATTAAACTTGTAGCCATCAATCAACTGTTCAGTGACACTTGTAATTAGTTGTAAAGTTTATAAACAACTATAATTTTTTTAGGTTTAAATTTGCTTTTTWAAAAATATTTATTTTGAAAATATTCAATAGTTTATACATATTTAAAAAAATCTATATATTAGTAATTGTAATAAATAATAAATTAATTGAATAATTAATGAATAATGTATTAATATTTTAATTTAACTATAAATTTTTAAAAAGGTAATATACAGTATGTTTGGTATAATCAATGATAAAGCTTTTTAATTAAATACAATTTATACAGTAAACAAAAATAATTTCTATTTACAAATTATGAGACATAAAAGTCTATAAACATTATTATTATTATTACTATTCATAAAATACATGAATTTTAATACAGTATATGATATTTGCATTTAAATTGATGGCAAACCAGAGTTACAGTTGCCGTGAAATAATTTGATCTTCAAATCACATTTAAAATACAAATCAAATATATCGCGATAGCCGTGATATCGCCACCACTGACACAGCTGTCGGTTCCAATTGCAGGGCAGGACATGAAACAGGTATCGGTAGTCAAAACTAGTGACGGTATAGAAGTCTTGATCGCCTAAATGGCCGCCAAAGTAGTACTTTTGACAGATATTGTCCACAAATTTCGTGGACAACAACTGGTCGTTGAAAAGTTTTGAAACACGCATTCGCTGTAAATTCATTAGTAGTACACCGCTATTAAAACCGGGCCAACCGTTTGGCGGCGGCGATCCTAAATCAGTTTTGTTGTGTACTTTTCTCCGGTATTCATGCATTATATGCCAATAGACGGGCTGTTGTTCGTAGGCTATGCCTATCAGYGCATCGTCGCTAAACTCACTGAACTGTCCGTAAAGTTTTTCAATGTTATCATTAAATTGGATGTCAATGTCGAGGAATATCAGTTTGTCTATGTCGGCAAAGTACCGGTGCGCGGCCAGTGATGTAAAAAATAGCGAACGACTATAATAGCTGTTTGAATTGTAAGTAAAATGTTTTTTAAGTGTCGGCAACAAGTGTTCAATTTGTTTGTTAACTTTATTGATGTCGTGAAACAAGATTTTATTAAATCTCTTATAATTTGGTATTTTATTTGCAATATATTTCAATAGAGATTTTGCACGAGTTTTGCTAAATTTATCGCTAATTATATTTACACAAATGTTTTGACGATTAGTCTTATTATTATTATTATTATCTAAATGTTTAGCCATTGTTGTTAGGCTACGATAAAGTTTTTTGCATATTAATTGATTTTGATTTGAATTATCATTATTATTATTATCACTTTGTGTTAATGTAAAAATCATTGCAATATTGATATCACAATTATTAAAAGTATTATTATTATTATTATTACTATTATTTACTGTCGATCGCTTACTTAGCATATCATGTCTATGAATAGTTTGTATCACACTATCATTATTATTGCTAAACACATGTTTATCACCGAATTGACGACACGCTCGGCTGATGGATGACTATATTTGTGCCATCAGTGGTGATGCCGGTGCTGTCATTGTCAGAGTTGTCGGCATCACCACCGCTATAGGCAAACACCTGTTTCCCAAACTTATTAAACTCATAGATAAGCGATGTGCGATCGTATGGAGAGGACTGGGATGAATAAGGCGATGAATAGCCTATGAGCAGCACATAGAGACACACTGTCGAGCACAGGGCTACTATTAATTTATAGACTTTCTGATTGTTATACATTATTGTGGATGACATTGACAATACTTTTGTTGTTGTTTTATTCAGACAGTGAAACACCAAAAAAATAAATAAATAAAATGTTTTATTTTAAAAAATCAGTTATCATTGTGTGTGTGTTTCTATAAACAATAAGCCACACAAACTACCAGTGCAGCCACAGACTGCAAATAACTTTTACAACATTGTATTGCATTATTATTTTGTATAGACATTATCAACACCACCAGCACAGAGGAATGGGAGATAATAAGTTCGTCCCATTTTTTAAGTTAAAGGATAGGTTCGCAAAACTAAGCCAAACAAAACAAAAAAATAAAAGCAATCTTCATATACAGTCAATGTATGTATAGGTTTCTTCTTAAGGCTGGAAAGCCTGAAAGCTATAGAAACAAAAAAAATAAGATAAAAGATGATTATATAGACTGGTGTCTGGCATTTAAAATCCCTGAGCTGACTGTATAGTCATTATATATATATATACACACACAGCTCCGTGATGGGCCTCGGATAGTGGGTTGGGTCGCACTTGCGGGTCAAGAGGTCGCACATGAGATGTGCTTTATGTGTATATGCACTGCAACAGCAATTTTATTATAGCACTGGTATCTTATATATGATATTACAGTAATACATCTGCATTTTGTATATATATATATATATATAAACCCGGAGCACAACTACAACTAACAACAAAAACCAGGCACTGGTTGATGAGCCGATGATTTTGCAGTTTGAAATGGAAAAAAGTTGTTTATATATATATATACAGTACTGTATATATTTTTAGTATAAATATATGATAAATATTTGTAATAATAATAATATTAAATGCATAAAATCTTGAAGCACTTCATGTTTCGTATATATATATACTGTATATTAATATATACATACAATTTGAAATCATTTAATATTTATTTATACAATATATTGTTAGTTTTTTTCTATATTGTAAGTTATCAACAAAATGTGGATTACATTTCACTTGAATATCTGATTTCATATGAAATTACACACACATAAACTGTATATAACGACAGTATATAATATAAATATAGTTTTTTTTAATAGTTTATCACTTGTTTTATTGATTTTATTTCATGTTTATTAATAATCAGACATTTGCATAGCATTTTCAAACCAACAACAAAAAATAAAATAAAACTTTAGTTTAAATATATATTAGTTTATTGAATACAACTTAAAATTTTAAACATAAATTTTTTGTTGTCAATAAAATTTCCAAACTTTATATACATTATATATATATACTGTATATAAATGTATTTCAAATATATATATACCGTTTATGTAATGTAAAAGATTCAAGAAAACTAAGTGCATTGGCTTTTCAAAAGTTGAATAGAGATTAACATTACTTAAGGCTTTTTTTGAACATAACTTTAATAGTAGTTTTTTTCAATACTGTATTTCACTGAAAAATATACACTCAATAACAACAACACTCTGTATGTGTGTGTGAATACACTTGTTTTCTGTGATGTTTACGACCAAACTATTCAAAACAGTGTTACATAAGTTTTTTTTTATTATTAAAAGAAGAAAAACCAATCGCTTTTAAGCATAAAGTTTATAATACAAGTTGTTTTACACCACCAGAATTGCACTGTTAGTTAGTGAGTGAGTGCCCAGAGTTAGAGTGAGCACTGGGAGACTGTTTTAATGGGAGCGCATGGCTTATGGTTTGTGAAGCTATACCCTCTCTCTCTCTCTCTCTTTGCTGATGGCTATCAGCCCTTATTCACCCCAACGCCACACACACACATACACACACCAGTTGTATTGTGAGAAGTGGTGGTGGGTTCCCGGTGTTGGCGCTTACAGGGAATGCCAAACATACCAAACCAATACACCTTGCGTTCAATAATTTTATTTTTTTTATAGAGTCTGTCTCTACAGTATTCCTCTGTGTGTATGTATGGTATGTGCGCGCCGGCATCATAGTAGTAGTAGTAGTAGTCGTATTATGAAATCCCCAAACGAGCCAATCCTTGATACCGGTTCTCACGGCAGGCCCTCTCATCTCATCTTTCGATTGCCATCGAAACCATCGCCGATACCATAGCAATCGTCGAGTGGTATAACAATAATAATAATAATAATAATACAAAAACACAATTGAAATATTAAAATAATAATACAATACAAACAGTATATTGCAAACTAATATTTAACATTTTGAATATTTTTCATGATATATATATACAATAATAACAATAGAGAGAGGTATTTGGTGAGGGGGTGTTTTTGTGTGTACCCATACCCTTGATGATGATGATATACATGTGCTTAACTTTAATAACTTTATATACACACAAAAAAAAGTTTAAATCGCAAGTGCTCTTTGATCAATGATAATAGTGAAAAGTAATAATAATAATAATTTATATGATAGCCATAATAATAGTAATAATTTTGCTATTTATGGCCCATAAGAGAGATTGAGTGACAGACAGACAGACATAATGGGTAACATTTGGTATGAAATGAGTATTTTCTGATGAGAGACCCCAATGCCCGTCCCAACCATATAACTAACTGTGCTCTCTCTCTTACACACACTCTCTATTGTATAAATTTAATGCCTAATAATTTGATTATTAAAAACAATTTGTGTGTTCATATTTTTCATTCATTGTGTGTGTATTTTATATAAATTATTAAAAAAATAAAACTGTGGGAAACTTTTAACTTTTCAAAAAAATTATGTACACATCATCATCAATAGGATAATTATCACACATATATAAATATACAGTTTATATACAATATACAATGTATTATTGACAGATATTTTTTTTTTAAATAAAAATATTCATAATGTGATTATCAGTGATTTGCTAACAACAACTGTAAAGATATTTCCAGAAAGTTTCACTTTCTGAAAATACAATATAAATATATGATATTATACTGTATTTGTTAATGTGATTTTAGTTAAAGTAATAATATTGCTTAAGTATTAATAAATACAATTATTATTTTACTTTTATTGTGTTATTAAAGTTTAAATCCAACAAAATGTCATACGAAAAGTGGCTATTAGTTTGCAAACAAAATCTATTCAACAATAAGACTACTGGCGCTGATTGTCAACTGAAAGAGGATGTCATATATAGGCATTCATTTAAATTGAGGCCAACTGTGGCTATAAATAATGCAAATACATTAAGAAGCAGAAGTAATGGAAACAATAATAATAATACTAATAAAAGGCATACTAAAGATGCTAAGTATTCAACAAATTCATTGCCAATAATAAAAGGGAAGTCAATAGGAGGAGGAGGAGGAGGAGGTAATCATAATACTAATAGTAAAATCAGAGATTTAAAGTCAGCCAAAGCTGTAAAACCAGTTACCAGAGAAAAGCCTAAAGGGATTACTGTTGTCAAAGACGACGACAACGACACCAACAAAAGCAATAACAACAACAACAGTGAATACGAGCTCTTATTCAAGGGATTAACTGATCTAAAGACAAGAGCCGCCAGAAGTGTTTCGCTGCCAGAAATTGTTTATAATAGAAGACGTCAACAACAAGTGTTTAAAGAGACGGATATCAGCGATGATGACGATAAAGAAGAAGAAGTAGTGGTCGGAACAACCGATTCGCATCATTTGATGAACAATATTAGACGTCGTGTTTCACAGATTATTGATTCGCATGTTTTAACTGATTTGATGGCCAGAAAACAAGACAACAAACTAATTACTGATGAACTAAACAACACTGAGGAAGACAATAAAAGTTTTGATACACCAAACATGTTGTCTTCATTTTCGCCTCAGTCGATGTCGATGTCAGCAAAAGAAGATGATGTCATAAAAAACAAATATTTTGATGATTTAGATAAGTTGTTATCGTCGTCATCGTTGTCATCTGAAAGTCATCGACAAATTAGTAGCAAATCAAGTGGTAATACAAAGAAATGGTGGACAACAACAACAACAATAAAAAAGTCTTCCGAAGATAATACTAGTAGTAAATCTCAAGAACTCAAGATAACTGATTCAATCAATAGTAATAATAAATTAATTGCACAAAAATATTATAAAAATTTAAGCAAAAACTCATTATCGTTAATACAAAACTGTTATCAAACAGACAGTGATTATAGTTAATGATTACACTTTTTTTAAATAATAGCTATTAGATTGCCATTTAATAAATGGCAAAATTTTATTTATATAATTGTGTTTAATTTTTTTTTAAGTAGTTAACTTAGATGCATATAATTTATTTGCAAAAATAATCCCAATATTTACTGTACAATAAATAAATAATTAAAACAATAATCATTTGCTATCAATTAGTATTTCAAAGTTTTTTTTAATTACCTTTTTTTAAGAAAAAAATATTTGAATCCCTGTTTTGAATCAATCTGTTATATAATTACTATTGAATAAGTGATATAAGTTATACCGGTATACCTGACTCTATAAAAACAGTACAATACTCCTACAACTGTTGATGAAGTTGTCTTTGTCGCCGATATGACTGATCCAACTGTTCCAATAGTATCCTCAGTCGATCCCGTTGTTGGACAGTCAGGTGACTGAAATCAAACAGTTCGTTAGTCACCTGATCGACATCTTCTACACCAAACTCACCGATAATTTCGTTTTGAATGTTATCGACTATCGTCTGTTCGCGGCTCAGTTGGTCAGCCAATTGCTGGCGTCGGACATTGTAGGCTCGTTGTTCATCCATCAGATCCATTCGATAGTGCCGACCCGGTTCGCGTAGTTGTGTCACTGGATTATAGTCACGAAAGGTCATGATAGCTGTGTTCCGGTTTGGCGGCGGTGGCCAATCGGGATCAAAATAATACTTACCGAACTGACTACTTGCGGCAATGCTGGCCATCTGTAACAATGCCAGACATATGGGTTCAACTATGTCTCCATCGCTGTGTTCATCCCATTGGACGTCGTGTACGAAATAGGCTGCAATAGTTGCGCAAAGCCAGCCGGCAAAATATCTGGGCACCAGTAGGTCTTCGGGTCGCCACTGGTATCTTATATGGAGATTCGGGTGTTCGAGCGGTTGGCCACACTGGCCACACGGATTCGGTGCCGTACTTATTGGTGTCAGTATGGCCAAGTTTGTACAGTGTTCGTGATAACCAGGTTGACACCTACAGGGCTGTATCAACGGATTGCTAGCAGCACCCGACCGGTGACATATAGGACATATCGGTACCACCACTGAGTCTATTACTGGCTGAATGACAGCACCGGCATTAGATCTCACTAACTGCTTTTCATCATTACTTTCCTCCCCTTTTTCTTCCTCCTCCTCCTCTATCACCGGTAAGTTTGGATTCCATGCCCGTCCTCTGCCACTCATCTTATTTTAGACATAATAGTAATTATATATATATATATTCCTTAAAAATTAAATTTTATAACAAAAAAATCATTAATTGTTATTTTTATTTAAACATATTGTAAGGTAATAAAGATTAAATAATAAAATAATTTTCCGAACAAATCTATATTATAAACAGCCAGTAGAAAATTATTTGCCCCAAACCCATCCCCACCCATCCAACCACTTCCTAACCTCACACCCACCCAAACTAACCGTAACTAAATAATAATTAAGTAATAAAACTAACATTTTTTATATGTATAACTGCATAAAATACAATACTTTTTGCTGGCTGTCTATAATCTAGATTTAAGCCTAATTTTCAACTAATTGATGAAGTAATTGATGATAATGATAATTGGTTATTTTTACTAATAATAATTAAAAAATCTAATTAGTAATAAATTTAGTTAAAAAAAATTTTTACAATAAAATAAAATCGCGCGAAATAACTAAGATTTAAATATGATTTTTTTGTGGTAATATAACTTTTTTTAAAAAAAATAATTTAGACATTAAATTAATAAAATTATTATAATCATCAAAATATCAATAAAAAATAAAAGATATTGAATGAATTTTATTAATAGAAATATATCAATATTGACTATTAGATTAGCAAAACAAAACCAATCAGTAAAATGTTCACAATTATCATTATTTAATAGAAATAGTCTAAAACAAACTAATTGGGCGACAAATACATGCATACAATTGCCCACAACTACTACTACTACTACTGGTAGGACCTACTACTCGACAACTGTTAATTTATTGTTGTTGAGTCAAATGGCACCGTTGGTTGGCCTGGTTGGCGGTCGACTGGCTAATAGATATTGGCAGATTGACAGTGTAGGGTTCAAGTATATCATCGGTCGCAATAGACTTCTGGTCGCATCATTGACGGCCGCTTTGTTAGCCACTCTGTACGCCATATCCGAACGCTATGGCAACAAAACACCGGTCACTGGCCGTCAACGGCATGTAGTGTTCGACAATAAGACCTACGAAGAGATCAGTCAATTGCTGTTTAAAGTGTTGACCAACGCCTACAAAGACAAGATCTTATCAGTCAATCATAAATATAGCAAACGGGTGAAGGAAATAGTTGGCCAACTATTGGAGTCAAACAAAGAGTTTGCCGAAATACGGGAAAAAGATTGGTCTGTTTATGTGATCGACGATAGAAACATACGCAAYGCTTTTGTGCTGCCGTCGGGACAGATATTTGTCTACACGGGTCTTATCAAACTGTGCGATAATGATCACCAATTGGGTACCGTTTTGGCGCATGAGTTGTCCCACGCGCTGTTAGGTCACGGCAATGAAGTGGTAAGTAATTATATGTCTACTGTATATATATATTAGTAATGATTACATAAAACCCAAAATTTTTTGAAACTTTTTTGTTTTGTTTTGTTTATTACAGTTAACTCAAGAGGTTTTGACTGATTTGTTTCAAACTATAGCAACGTTTGTGTTTTGGCTGCGTTTWCGACCGTTGCGGGCATTGATGGCCACTGTTGTCTGTTCGGTGATAGTGAAGACCAGTCTATTGCTGCCCCGTCGGCGGCTCATTGAAGCTGAGGCCGACTTAATTGGACTGATTTTGTCGGCAAAAACGTGTTACGACGTGCGCGAGGGCAGCGCTTTCTGGATGAAAATGGCTGAACTCGAGCGACAAAAGTGGTCAAACATGTTTTCTACACACCCGTCTAGTGCCGCCCGATCGGAGATAATGGACACTTATATGGATGTTATGATTGCACTAATGAAAGATTGCAATTGTCCTGAATTGTCGGCCAGTGATCCGCGAAATCGTGTCAAACGAAAGGTTTCGCCAGTCGGCCGAACAGTGTTTCCAAAGATTGATAAATAAAATACATATTTATTTAACAAAATGTATTTTTGAATTATTCATTAAAATCCAATAGAAGTTAATCGGGGTTTTTCATAGTTTTAGTTAAAACAAATAGAATTAATTAAAAACAATCTAACAATTTTTACCTACCTTTCCTACATCACACACATACACACCCCTTCCTAATCCTCCCAACAACCCATCCAACCTACCATAGATATAAAGTAATGTTTTTTATAATATAAATCTCATGCAGTTTTAATCTATATTTTTAAAACCCGCGTGAAAACCGATGGGAGAGAGAGAGAGAAAGAGAGAGAGAGAGAGAGAGAGAGACAGAGAGAGAGAGAGAGAGAGAGAGAGAGAGAGAGAGAGAGAGAGAGAGAGAGAGAGACTGTTTAAAGATCTAATGTCATTGTTATTGAAAATTTTTCAACAAAAAAAATTATTTTTACAAAAAATAAAAGAAAAAAAAATTTAGGAAAACATTTAGATCTAATCGATCGATCGAAAAGACAAAAACTATCACCACTTGATTTCGGACAGACAGACAACAAAAACAAAACAAAAAAAACAAGACATGGATAACGATGAGTTGATGGAGGAATTGGCTGACGTCAATGATAGCATACCAGAAGATTATGTATATCTAGAAGCTAATGAAAACATTGCCCATCCGTTTGTCAACTATCGCACTTTACAGGCACAGGTAGTAACCATTGCCGACGTACAGATCCAAGTTCAAGCCGTTCATATGTCTGGCCAGCACATCAGAAACGTAAGAGTGGATGGCATGCGATACGGTATCCAACGGGTTGGAAATGATGCTTTAGTCGACAATTTGGCCGTCGCAAAACGTGTGGTCGGTCCACTTCGTCGACAATGGCGTTCAATACACTCGTACGGATACTCGGGCAATGGCGGCCCGCAGGTAACAACCGTAAATCGACCAGGAGGGGAACTACTATATTTGTTAGACGAAACAACAGCCAGTTGTATCAAACAGTCAGTAATAACCACTAATCACCACCAAATCCATACAATTGCCCATCAGCTCAGTCTTATCGGTATTACAATCTATAATCTCAATCAAAACAATCCCAATCAGGTCAGCAATCAAGTCAAACGAAGTTTCTTTAAGATGATGTATGTATTGAACGATCTAATGAATGTATTAAACGATTTGGATTATATCTTCAAAGCGGCTGTTGTTCACAATCCGCGTGTATTAGCCAATGAAGGTCTACCGCCAGTAATAGTCCAGACACTTGAAGATCCTGTAGTGCCGTTTATGTTGGAAGGCGTCAATATGGAGACTCTGAATTATTTAGCTAATTTCCGCAACGAGATAGTCAATCACCCGAACAACATATTTGGTAGGGATTGGCAGCATATATTAGACAATGACTTTGCCGTAATGGAGCACTCGATACCATTGGTGAATGGCCAGTATCAGGTACGGTTGGATTACAATAATCAACCAATCAATTTGTTTGACGTACAGGTATTCAATGAAGTGGACCGCACCCGACTCACATCGGAAAGGTTTACACACATCGACTTGAATCAGAATATCGCTAATATACCCTATTATCTAAAATTTGTGAATATAGCACCGGGATTCTTGGCCTATCGTGAAGATGCGGACAATCCGGGCCATTTGATACCAGTCTACAGTCACGGTACGCACGGTTCACACGAGATAATCGGTTGCAATGGTTGGCAAGCAATGACATTACAGTTTCAGAATATAGCTGACTATGAAGAGCGCCTGTGGTTTGTGACCCGTGTTATGGGCGCAGAACTGACCCAATGGTTTGATCAGTGGGAAGTCATGCCAATCTATAGATATTATATGGTCGAGTTGGCCCGTTTCACGGCCCATCTCTTTGAAATGCAACGGTTTTCCTACTATTTGAATGATGTCAATGTGCAACAAGAGGTCAGAAATATTTTAGAAGACCATAGAAATTGGTTTAACCAAACCAGAGACCAGTTGTTGGCAAAGTATTCAGCACTGTTGGTGTTGGAAAAACTTCACCGACACAGCATACTGGTTCCCAACCCACCTGACGACAAAAATGTTCAGGATCAACTGAGATGTCTGGACGCGTGGCCACAAAATGTACCGCTTGGTCCTCCAATAGCACCGCAACATATACCGCCTGGAATAGGAAGAGGGAGAGGTAGAGGAAGAGGTAGAGGTAGAGGAAGAGGAAGAGGAAGAGGAGCTCAACAACCACAAGAACCACAAGAACCACAAGAACCTAGTGATGGTGGAAGTGATAATCAAGTAGGATCTTCACCTTCTAGTGCTGGAACTGGCAAACGCATTGCTGACACTAGTGATGGTGCGGGACGTGACAAACGACATAAAAATTAGTGCTAATTCAGTGGTTATGTCATTGAGAAAATATAATAGGATTTACATTAGATATGTGACACAAGTGTTGACAACAAAAATAAAAAGTACTTAAAAACACAAATAACAAGAGATTGTTGTTGTTGTTGCTGTAGGGTGTGGTATGTGTGAGGTTAGGTTAATGGTGTATAAGAGCCATGATATGTTTGATTCATGACTTATAATATAATTAAATTAAAATTGAAACTTATTTAACGTGAAATATATTAATAGTTTAATCAATGCATTTAATACATTGTTATATTATAGGCGAAAACAATGTTAAAAACGAAACCCTCTCTCTATTATGTAAGCGAAGCCAAAATTTTTCAATAAAATTAAAAAATAACGAAAAAAATAATAATAATTTACGCAAACATTTAGACATCTACTCTATTACCAGAAGATTTCAGATACACAACAACAACAACAATAATAAAGAGAGAGAGAGAGAGAGAGAGAGAGAGAGAGAGAGAGAGAGAGAGAGAGAGAGATACTGTTTAAAGATCTAATTTCATTGTTATTGAAAAAATTTTCAAAAATTAAAGAAAAAAATTTAGGAAAACATTTATTCTAATCGATCCAAAAGACAAAAACTATCACCACTTGATTTCTGACAGACAGACAACAAAAACAAAACAAAAAAAACAAGACATGAATAACAATGAATTGATGGCGGAATTGGTTGACATCGACCAGAGACTACCAATATATTATGTATATCTAGAAGCTAATGAAAACATTGCCCATCCGTTTGTCAACTATCGCACTTTACAGGCACAGGTAGTAACAATTGCCGACGAACACATCCAAGTTCCAGCCGTTCAAATGTCTGGCCAACACATCAGACACGTACGAGTGGATGGCATGCGATACGGTATCCAACGGGTCGGAAATGAGGCTATTGTCGACAATTTGGCCGTCGCAAGACGTGTGATCGGTCTACCTGGTCGACCATGGCGTTCAATACACTCGTACGGATACTCGGGCAATGGCGGTCCGCATGCAAAAACTGTAAATGAAAATGAACGGGAACTACTGTTTTTGGTAGATGAGAGAACAGCCGATGCCATCAAACAGTCAGTAATTACCACTAATTACCATCAACTTCATACGATTGCCCATCAGCTCAGTCATATCGGTATTACAATCTATAATCTTTATCCTAATATTGCAGACTTCCATGTGATCAGACAGAGTTTCTTTACGTCGATGTTTATATTGATTAGACTAATGGATGAACTAATCAGATTGGATGTCATATTCAAGTCGGCTATTGTTCACAATCCGCGTGTATTTGCCAATCAAGATCTACCGCCAGTTATAGTCGATGTACTGGAAGTTCCTGAAGTACCGCATATGATGCCCGGAATCAATTTAAATTCAATGGATTTTTTTGGTGACTTACGCAACATGATTGGCAATCATCCGAACAACATATTAGAATGGATTGGCAGCATATATTAGACAATGATTTTGCCGTAATGGACCACTCGATACCATTGGTGAATGGCCAGCATCAGGTACGGTTGGATTACAATAATCAACCAATCAATTTGTTTGACGTACAGGTATTCAATGAAGTGGACCGCACCCGACTCACATCGGAAAGGTTTACACACATCGACTTGAATCAGAACATCGCTAATATACCCTATTATCTAAGATTAGTGAATAATGCACCGGGATTCTTGGTCTATCGTGACGATGTGAACAATCCGGGCCATTTGATACCGGTCTACAGTCACGGTACGCACGGTTCGCACGAGATAATCGGTTGCAATGGTTGGCAAGCAATGACATTACAGTTTGACAATATAGCCTACAATGAACAGCGCCTGTGGTTTGTGACCCGTGCTATGGGCGCACAACTGACCCAATGGTTTGATGAATGGAAAATTATGACAGCCTATAGATTATTGTTTGTCGAGTTTGTCCGTTTCTCGAGTAATCTCATTGAAATGAAACGTTTTACCCCCACTTTGAATGAAGACATACGACAAGGGATCAGAAATGATTTAGAAGACCACAGAAATTGGTTAAACGAAACCAGAGACCAGTTGTTGGCAAAGTATTCAGCACTGTTGGTATTGGAAAAACTTCACCGACACAGCATACTGGTGCCCAATCCACCTGACGACGGAAATGTTCAGGATCAACTGAGATGTCTGGACGCGTGGCCACAAAATGTACCGCTTGGTCCTCCAATCGAACCGCAAGATTTACCGCTTGGAAGAGGTAGAGGTAGAGGAAGAGGAGCTCAACAACCACAACAACATATTGGTGGTGGAGGTGGTGCTGGAAACGGTAGTCAAGCTGGATCTTCAGCTACCAGTTCAACAAGCAATGTCCGAAATAGTAGTCGTATTACTACGGATGGCAAACGTAATATTGCAGACACTAGTGATGGTGCGGGACGTGACAAACGACGTAAGAATTAAGTATAAATTCAGTTGTTATGTCATAATCAGGAAAGATCCAGAAGAATGTTGAACACAGACATAAATAAGTGTTGATAAACACAAAATAAAAAGTAGACATAAAAAACAACTAACAACTTATCGGCAAATTATATATATATATAACAAAAGATTTGTTAAATTAGTTTTTTTCTAAT